AATCCCTGATAAAACGGTGTATAATTGAATTGTAAACGAAGTAATTTTCATAGAAAATAAGTCAATTTGGATGAAAATTGAGTTTTATTGATGAGATGATGAGCTAATCAGAAGACAATTATCAAAAAATAGGTTTAACTTTAACGGATATGCAATAATAGAAAATTTCAAAATCTAATGGTCAAAACCTTCGTAAAAATTGGTCAATTTACACACTAAACAATATAAAGTAACATACCAAAATCAGATTCTTATCTCCAGGCATGGCAAAAGAAGTCCAGAAAACAGTGAATTATAAGAATTTTGAAGAAGACAAATGTCATTATCTTTTAGGAAAATGGGTATTCATTACAAAACAAAAAAAATACGAAAGTCAAACAGTTTCTTTGCCATCAATATACCATAAAAAATACCATAAAAACAACAAGTTGCTCCGAGTACGGCCTGATCCCACCTCTGTTGTTTTGGAGGTCCGTGTTTGCTCTGCTCCTATTTTGCATTGTTTTATAGACTTTTGATCTTGAATACTGTTCGTTATCTCCGTATATTTTATTTGTGACTTTTATATTTGTTATCAATGAAGAAATATTTCACCGACGCAATAAAAATATAACGCCTCAATTCCCAATGTGCACATTGTAGCACAATCAACACTTCATGATCTGACATTTGTTTCGGGTGTCAAAGAGCAAAACATAAATTTATTCATTCAGCTGAGGTAAGTATTTTGACCAATAGGTCCATTTATTTATTCGTTTTTTTTTTTTTTTTTTTTTTTTTGCCTCTTAAAATTTAAACTTTAATCCACATGGGAGTCATTATTCTAGGTTATTTTTCTTCACGTGGGTTACGCAAATTTTTAGGGTGAGGACACTTTTCCTACGGGCAAAAGGGCCATTTTTCGACGTCGAATAATGACCGGGGGTCATTTTTCGCCGAAGAATAATGACCGGGAGTCATTTTTCGACGTCGAAAAATGACCCCGGTCAATATTCTATGGGGGTCATTATTCGTCTTTACACGGGAATGGGATGTCATAAGTGGATACTCAATCCTCCTAGGCGCCTGACGGTAGCGGTTCTTTGAGATATGAGGCGTTAAAAATTAAAGTCCCGTGTCACGGTAGGTATTGTCACGATGAAGGAAGCTCCCTGTTAAATGGACCCAAGTACCCAGCAAATTTTTAGATTGATGTCCTCAGTAGTTTATGACGACGTCTCTATATGAGTGGAATGGGATTTTAAACAATCTAAAATCAATCAGTCATTGCTGTGCGAGAAAAAGTAGAGAAATAGAAGTCAAAGAATTAGCCGTCTGTTTCAAGGAATTTTTCAGTAATGACGTATAATTTGATTTTTAACATGTAATAGATTACGTGTTCTCAAAGAAAAATAACGAAAGATGATGGATTTGATAAAAAGATTGTCTTTGTTTTTAAGGCTAATTGCATTTTAGAAGAACTGGGACTTAATTCTACTAGTGGTAATGTAATCCAAATTACATCCACAGGATGCATATCTATATTGGATTCCTTAAAATCAAATATACATGACGGGTTCCAGTAAATGTTTTACAACGCCTGTTTCTTTAATCCTCACTAAAATATTAACATTAGTACGAGGGTTGATCCAAAAGTAATGTCACAGTGTCCATATCTTTTATATTTGGCGTCATATTATAAAATATTTTATACCAAAAGATGCACAAATATAAATTTAAATAAATTTTAATTTTTCATTCAATAATGTTTAACTGAATTTACGTTATAGATGTTTAAAACATATAAGGTAGGGGGTGTCGCCACGTCAAAACTGAACGTCACAAATTAAAGTGTACTTTTTCAGTATAAAAAAGACAAACACTTAAAAAGCATCTTTTAAAAGCGCCTAAACGCAAAATACTTTAAAAAACAAAAATTTACATCATTTTCCAGTCTTAAATTGAAAATTATGTGACATCACTGCTATTTTTTATGAAAAACATCGTTGATTTATTCCGGTGCATTGAAAAAAGGAAATGTCAAAATGGACAAAAAAGCCAGAACAAACTGTAATGCATTTTTGCTTCAAAATGGAGAAATCGCCAGTAGAGACAGTTACGTTGATTAACCAGACTTTCGATGGAAAGAATGTAAATAAGAGACTTGTTTAGATGGTTTCAGCGACTTTCGGTGGGTGATGGGTCATTAAATGCTCAGTAGATGACAAGAAAACCGAAAGATGGGAGGGCGGATGGAAATGTTCAAAGGTGTGTGACGTTGTCAAAAAGACAGACGGATAGAGCGATATGTGAAATTTTAAGTTGGTCTTTTACTACTGTTCAATGAATTTTGACAAAATTAATTATGAAAAGAATGAGTGTACGATGGGTACTAACGGTAAGAAAGTGAAATTTGTGAACGTGTTCGTGAATATCAAATCTCAAATATTTTTTAATGAAACGAAGGGAAGCGTTTAAATGTATAACGGCGCGTATCCGTCATATGACGTTATTTAGCTGCGGCGAATACCATAATCGCATGTTGTATATAATCCGATATTTTGAAAAGTATAAATCATGTTGAATTGAAATTTTCAGATCTGATTTGAAATAATTGTAGCTTTCATCAATTATAATTTTGTTGTTTTACGTTGACGGATAGCGATTCTATCGAAGTTGTGACATTACTTTTGGATCAACCCTCGTACAAGATATTTTAGGAGTATTTAGGAGTACTTTGCAATAATATATTCATGAAGTGGTGTAAATCAGATGTGGATACTTAAAAATTCAAAGGAACTATTACGCTAGAAAATTTGAAATCATAAAACTATACCAAAATCAACGGCATAAAAACTTAAGACTTTTCAACTAAATACACAACCATTCCCCACGATAAATTAATGTCTAGGCCTTTTTGATATCATTGACAGCTGCTTTGTTCAATAAAAATGGAAGTCGTTTGGTCATTTGCAAAATTAGTTTGTTAAAAAAAACATTCTGATTGTACACACAAGTACTCTGAAGGTGATATTAAAAAGACGCTGGAGTTTCTGATTAACAAAATATGTCTTTGTGGCTTTTAGAGACCAGGACTTCTACAAATCTGTTGGAATTCCCATTGGATCAATTTCGCCACGTCTTTAGCAGACTTATTTTAAATTCATATGAAGCAGATTTTGTACAAATTCTTTACATGAAAAGAAGGAAACAATTTCTGTCCCTTTCATCACGACATTTAGATATATCGACGACGTATTGTCAATTAGTAATAGTTATATGTCAATTCTTATGTCAATACGACATATCCCGGTGAGTTTGAGATAAAAGATACCAGAGAGTCTGACACATCTGTTTCGTATTTGGATATTTTACTAGAAAAAGATGTTGTTGGTTATCTAACTACCAATCTTTATGATACGAGTGATGACTTCAACTTTTCAATTGTCAACTTTCCTTACTAAGGCAGCAATATGTCTTCATTACCTGCATACAGATTTTATATCTCTCAGTTTATTCTATACGCGAGAGCATACTCTTCGTATGAACAATTTTTAAAACGAGGTAAATTATTGACAAACAAGTCGATTAAACAAAAATATCAGCAGTTTCATTTAAAGTCATCAAGTTCTTATGTTCGCTACAATGACCTTGTCAGGAGATACAATTCATCACTAAGTCATATGCTGACTAAAGTTTTTCATAGTTATTGTTAGGCCATTATATACAAACTGAATTGTCTACGGATTTTTTTTCTTTTTTTTTCCCGATAATCACAAGGAGCACACGGCGGGTGTGACCATTTGGCACGGTATCCTCACTCCTCCATTGCACCTGATCTCACCTCTTATGTTTTGGAGGTCCGTGTTTTCTCTGATCCAATTTTGTATAGTTTAAGGTCAGACGAGACGTTCCTAAAAATCTATTTTGTATATCTTCATAATGTATATGAAAAATATTCAAAATCTTAATAACATTCTGATTTCTAAACCAGTTTCTAAACGTTTTTAAAAAATCCAAACACTTAGACATTTGAAATCGGAAAATTATTTTCCTTCCCCAAAGGATTATATAATCAAAAACTGATTTGCATGGCCAATTTTTTGTGACCATGTTTAAGTAGCAATACTTCAATGACAAACTCTTAGAAAAAATTAATATAAAAGGAACGTATGTTTCCTTAATGGACTTTCTGTTCGTTTCTTCATGCGTTACGAGTAATTTTGTTTCTTTATAATCTTTTACCAGTCTCTGTTTTTGTTTCGATATAAATCAACTGATTTTATGGCTATAAGCTTGGATGCTAAACCCAGTAAATATAAGAGCGTATGTTTAAAATTTCCTTGTGGTATCTTGTATTGACTTGTAATTTTGCTTTGTCATTATAAACTTGGTTTTTCTACCTATCTTTTTTCTTTTTTTCTGTGTTATATATGTATACCAATAAAAGCCCAAATTGTATACATATATTGAACAAAATTGAAAGCAAACTTTTTAGATGAGGAAGTTTTACCTTCATACTTGCTGTTTTATCCCATTTTTTAAAAATAGAATTATCCAAAATTGTTTTCCTCGAATAATTCGAATTATTGTACTTAGAGATGCCAATATTTTCTTGATTTTGTCTATATTTCCTCAATTCAAAGAAAAGCAGCACAGCTGTAGCAAACATGTACACGAAAAACGCCGTGATTTCATTGAAATGAGTTATATATACGTAACAAGTAGTAACTTTCAGATGAGTCGATGTGATTTCAATCGTGAAATATCACCATGAACCAATGACAAATCTTTGTCTGTAGGACCAAAGGTTAAGTTTATCAATATCAAAATTTTCAACAAGTTTTACAAAATACATTGAACACAAATTTTAGGGATTTCTTATTTTCTGCTAATGGATTAGGTAAGTATGATTTTAGCGCATCGACCACTCGGTAAGGACGGGCCATTCGTCCTCAACATCTGTCGTCTAATTTGTTTCCCCGTATTGATCCCCCTTAACTTTGCCTGTGTCGGTATGTATATAAAACATAATAGATAATATCGTATCTTTTTGGATGACCAAAGCATTAGACTAGGATATACTACAGGTCTTCCAAAATCACTGCAAATTCCGAAACATTCCGAAGGAATTATTGGACCTCAAGGTATATTGTATTATTCTGTTTATCTCTACATTGACAGCATAGGTATACGCCTTGCATCATCTTTGAATATTCCTTTTTGAAAAAGAAAGATTCATTTACTTTTTTTAATTTCCACTTTTCTTCATTTTAACAAAATATCAAAAATGAAAAAAAAATGACTACAAATTTTTAATCTACATTATCTGCATTTGTGATTATTGTTTAATATATACAATTTTTCCTTTCTTAGTAGTTGCCATCGATATCGGTTGAAATATGTGTTTCGTATTTTGTATTCAATTATTACGCCAACACATGCTTGTTTATAATACATCTTGATGCACTCTTTGAAGATATTCACTGCTGTGAAAGAAATCCCTATTTCTTTGTTATGCATAAAACCTTTATATTCCTCTGTGTCATTCTCTTAAGAATGATTCCTATTTGATTACAAATAAAACAAATTAATTTGGAAAAAGAAGAAGTATAGTACCAATGTGCATTAAGCGTACAACAAAAATGCACACAGCCAAGAAATAAAAAATATATAGTGCATGTATATTTTTTCAATCTTTTTTTTTTTATTTTTGGAGACCCAGGGGAATACGACTAGTATACTCATAAAATCTGCAGCAGATTTAATGGTGTATTTTTCATCTGTACTCATGCAAACAAAGAGCAGTTACTCTGAATTTACAGTATTTCATTTTTTTTATCCTAGAAAAAGTTCTACTCTTTACTAAAATTTATAATTTTTTGCAAAACCTGCATCGTAAACAAATGTGGGAATGTGTTATGTACGTAAGCCAACAGGGTTTTTTGTTGTGAATTATTTTTTCTTCTGGATTTATTTTTTTTTATTAAACAGCTGAAAAATGTTTAAACATAATTTTGGTATATAACGTATCCAAAATTTATAGAAACTGGTTTTGTTTGAAATTCATTTTAAACAGAACTAAAACAACCTGCATGTAGAACCAGTTTTATTATTTTTTTAAAATATTCAAAAATTTACTCTTCACAAAACAAGATTTACCGACGAACGAAAAAACTCAATAAGCATGCAAAATATGTCATTGAACTCATTTTCCAAAAACAAATAAAAGTATCGGGCTAAATAATTAAATATTTAAAACAAAATATCCTCTAACTCAGAGCAACGCAATCATTTGAATGTATATACTTATATACGAACAAAGTTTAATCATTCTTTTCATTTTTGTAAGAGGAAATCATCCCTTTCACTTTCCATTCGCTTCCAAAGATCTTTTACATGCAAAATTCTAGTATTATTTATAATATTTTTTTTTCTTTCCTTTGTCCTTTCACATTCCAGATACGTTACATTTACATATTAACGTCTAAATTTTGATTCCAATTTTCCATGTTTCCTAATTTTTTGTTGGATATCCAGAATTCTCAACACAATTTCTAACTTGATGAAAGAGGTGAAGAAACGAACAGCGATCTGTCTCAAACAACTCAACACAATACAGTTCTTTAAACAGGACTTAATCACAGAGCCTCTGAAATTTCAGAGGTGGGATCAGTTGCCTTTCAGTGCAAAAACAGAGGCTAACAATTAATATGAAACAAGTCAAGCAAAATACCAAGTGATAGGTTTTTGCTAATAAAATCATTATAACGGTTGTAAAACTTACAAACTTTGATTTTTTAACGAGGTCGTTGATATCCCGGTAACATCAACATTTGTGTGGGTAGCCTACCCCGGTTATAAATTGATCGTACTCCGAGAATGCTTTTGAGTAGCAAATAAGTTGCAAGACACAAACATCAAGCTACACAAATAAGGAAAGTTCACGATGGAAAAGATAAAGTAATCTCGTTGTCATAAAATTTGTTATTTGACTATTTTTAATTCTCATTATCCATATTTCTTCTCTTTTCTTCAAGTGTTATGTGTTTCTGCATATATCATTATTTGGTTCAGATCATTAAAAATCATGTTGCTTTCTTAAATGCAGTACGATGTATGTGGAGATAATGTATAGTATTCGAGCTCAAAAGTTCATTAAACATTACAAAATGGGAGCAGCTAGAGCAAACACTGATCTCCAAAACAGCAGAGGTGGGATCTTTTGTAACTTAAAAAATGTTGGATAGATTCATATCTTTATATTCTAGTCATTTTTCAAGAAACATAGCGAAATCTTAATTTACTTTAAGCCCACAATACACAGAAGTCTTTTCCCCCTTAAAATTTACTTGCCCTGTACACACTAGACACATGTTCTTAAACACTGTCACTGATTTGTAACCCCGTATGCATTGTCAAAATTGTATCTTTACTGCTTTGATGTTCGTAAAGAATGTGCTGGACTTATCGAAAAGACTACTGCAGTAGACAACATCATACATAAATTTACGAAATTCAAACCCTATTTTCTATCGTGACCTGTACATGATATACACGGGTGTGACCGATCGGCAGGGGAAGCTCACTCCTCCATGGCATCTGATCCCAACTATAATGTTTCGTAGCTTCGTGTTTGCAATTTCAATAGTTTATTCTCTTAAACTGCACTACAGTACTAGTATAGAGAAGATACAAACATTAAATATGTACAATGCAATACAATACAGCATGCGTGAGAAAAATTAAAAAACGATGAAAATGACAATGTCATAAATCAAGCAACCAACTCTCTCAATAATAAACCTATTAGATTTACATAGTTTAACAAGTTGATTTAATGTTTCAGATTGAATAATGTTCTAACTCAAAACTTTAGGATTTGTATGATATACATTATCCTGGAAGGGTAACTCTTTTATTAATTTACAAAGGTTATTGATAACGGATACTTTTTTTACATGAAAATAAATTTGAAAACTTGCAACACTTAGTCGAATTGTATATGTTGACGGGATTAACAATTTTCTACTATTATTTAGAGCTGGACACGACATAATATAATGGAATTTGCTCTGCTCCTATTTTGTATTGTTGAATGGACTTTTGAGCTTGAATACTATTCGTTATCTTCATATATTTCATACATGCATGTCTATAAGCACATTTAATCCCAATACAAACAAAGCAGACCTTCCCACCACCAACAACAGATCCATAATTATAACACAATCGACAATATATTATTATATATACTTAGTTCGAATTCTCACAGTACCCTTGCACTTCAAATCTTGATTTATTCAGACTATGGAAAGAACCTACATTCATATATACTCTAGTAATCGGTCACTGGCCTTTTCCCAGCATGAGGGGAAAAATCTTTTTTTATAAAGCGTCCTATAATTCGACATTTCTTAATTATTACACCCTTTATAACCTCCATAAATAACATTCATGGCAAATAAAGTGTTATGGAAGATGTGAATCTAAAATACTGCTTTGTCTGCGTTAATTACTGCGGCAACATCTGGATGGCTTTTTTGTTAAGTGTCCAAAGATTTCATCGACCTGTGGACATAAAAAGTTATCCTCATAATCCCCACTTCTTCTTATAAAACCTACAAAATAAGTCACTAAATAAGGACAGTTATTCTTATCTCTTTTTTCGCTTTTTATAAAATATCACTATGTACTTAAAAGCGTAGGTTATGAAAAAGAAAGCAAATTAAATATTAATTAAACTTATATATTAACTTTAAAAAACTGCATGAAAAAACCATGTCAAATGCTCTTTTTCTTTTGAGAAATTGAATATCAATTCATCAACACCCGGTCTTTTTCTCTACTAGATTGTCCTTGGCTGTTTTTCCATATTTTCCATGTTCATTGTAACTTATCGAAATCTTTTGATGCAAAGTACAAGATGTTTCTATTAAATTTGAATTTGAATTCATCATAAAAATTCATTAAAGATTCAACAAAAGCTTTTTCTATTGCCCTTTTATCTACAACATATGCTTTGATCATTAATTCGAGGAATTATTTGGAAGCAATTTATTATTCTGTAGGTTTTTTTTATGTCAGTTAAAAGAATTGAGGAAAAATCAAAGAAACACATACTAAAGAATAAATAAGAAAAAATATAAGGAAATGAAATAGATAAAAAGAGGGCATTTTTTTTTTATTTAAAAGATCTAATTCTAAATTGGAAACAGTTGGTATGGGGCAGGAAACTAAAGTTTATATGCCAAGTCTGCACGACATATAATCAACACTTAACTTAAAAAAAAAGAATGACACTTCAATTTGCAGACAAAAATCATTTGTAGAATATACGTATATGCATTTTCAACGTTGAAAATAGATTCCTGATTTATAAGATTGAAATAGATGGAGATCACGAAGAGTATTCAAGCTCAAAAGTCCGTAAAGAAGGATATGGAGATAACGAACAGTATTCAATAAAGTCCATAAAACAATACAAAATAGAAGCAGAGCAAACACGGACCTCCGAAACATCAGAGGTGGGATTAGGTGCCATGGAGGAGTGAGCATCCCTTGCTGACCAGTCACACCCGCCGTGTGCTCCTTGTCTTGATCGGGAAATAACGGAAAAAATCCGTCGTCATTTCAGTGTATAAGTAATGGACTAACAATTAGTATGAAAAACGTCAGTCAGCATTTGACTCAATGATAAATTGTATTTGCTGACAAAGTCATTGTATCGACCAAAGAACTTACGAAATGATTACTTTAAACGAGACTGCTGATAGCCTTGTTTCATCAACTTGCTTGTCAATAATTTTACTCGTTTTAGAAATTGTTCAAACAAGCAAAATAATACAAATTTTGGAACAGAGAAAACACAGACCTCCAAAACATCAGACGTGGGATCAGGTGCTATGAAAATGCATTTCTCGATGAAATATACAAATTCCTAGAGAAAAGCAGTCGTATTTTTTTTTTACACATTGTGTTTACAAACATTTTAAGAAATTTATTTCTTTAATCAATTTTGGTATTTGCAAGCAAGGAAAAATAGCATTTAGATTGGTGATCATTGTATTATATTCTTTAATTTTATCGTTATATTTTTCAATCTGAAGTTGTAAATGATTGCATAAAAAAATTATCATTTTCAATTTCGGAAAAAAGAAGAGTTTTAGCATCTTTTATCAAAAGTATCAAAAGATCCCGATAGACACAAATGAGAACTTTTTTGGCAAAAATAAGTAAATTTTCATATTGCATAAAACCTGATAATAATTTATATAAATTTTACTATTAATTAAGAAGAAATCGTACTAAATAATTGCTATAAAAGACTCAACGTAAAAAGTTGAGATAACGAACAATGATCGATCGCATAAAATCTATAAAATAATATAAATATGTGATTGTGGTATAAAAACATGGACCCCTGAAAAATTCCACACGTGGGATCAGGTGTCATTTAGAAGTAAACATCCCCTGTTGACCGGTCACTCCCGCTGTGAGCCCTTTGTGTTGATAAGGTAGACAGAACCTTTCTTAGCCTATTCAGTATGGAAAAAGGCCTCACAATTTGTATGAAATAAGTCTGTCAAAATACAACCCATCCAGTGATAGGATTTATTTGCGTACAAGGTCTTTATAACGTCTATACATTTACAAAACGTTCGACTTTAAACGGGGTAGCTGAAATCCCTGTGACATCAACTTATCTATGAATAGCATGTCTCGCTTTAAAAATTGATCGTACCTAGAGCAACCTCTTGAATAGCGAATAAGCTGGGAGACAAAAATACCATAAGCAGGTGATAGTGGAATAACCGAAGTGTAATGCTCGACCTCAATCAAGAAAATGATGATAAAAATGATTTTTTTTTAATGATAACATTTATTTATTTATTATTCAAACAATGTCATAAGTGTGTCAAATATTGATTTTTGTATTTAACCCCAACCTCCATTAGAATAAATGCAATGTACACGTTGTTACAATCCAGAGTGAAATAGTTTTTTTTTTGTATTTGAAATTAAGATGTTACCATTATCTTTAAATTGATGGACAAAATTTGCTAGATAAAGTGACATTCTTGCAATATATGCTGTCGAATTGACCATGGTTTCATTCAGACGTGACAAAAAACATGTAGGATGAAAAAGAGAATGCAATTTGATTACTTCAAGTACATATTTTTTTTTATTGAAATGTTAAATGTCGGTTGTTTGCTTGTCCAGAAAAAAAACAAAATTCAAAGAAAGAAAATGATTAAAACGTATATAAAGATCAGGGTGAAAAATGTGTGTGCAATATATGTGCATATATATTAAATACACTTTTTTATTCTTCAAACTAATATTTTGCTTCTATAGTGATTATAAAATAGAGTTCTGTTCTTGCATTTTAACTACTCGGAACAAACCTTATAACATAACTTATACGTGCATCTTTTCTTCCATCATTCAATTTTAGAATGCACACTATTATAAATTAATAAATGTTTTAACCGTGATTCTGTTCTTTATCATATTTTGATCAGTTTTTTTATATATCTGACAGTATTTTTTTTCTAATTCAGTGTAAGTAGAGGTCCCGAGGAACTGCTATGAACACAGTCCAGATTCTCACTGCGGCAGTGTGGATATCCGCCCTAGTATCTGTGAGAGGTAAGCAAGATCTTTACAAAACAAGCAATTACTGTTATAAAAGCAGGTAAACAACGACACAGAGAGTTAAAATTCTTGTGTATAAATATACAAGTACATAAAACTACAATGCAACAACGACATAGAGGGTAAACACTATAACAAACAGGAAAATAATACGATAGAACAAGTAAAATACAAACTTAGAGTATTACAAAGTAACAGGCAAAACAACGCTTTTGCAGGTAAAAAATATAACAAAGCATACTATGCTATTCGATTTAGCAGGTAAAATACTATAATATTGTCTATTTCAAAGGTAATATATACACTATAAATAAGCAGCAAAAACACTTCATATAAACAATTTAAATACTATTTCAAAAAAAAAAAAAAAAAAAAAAAAGACAAGTTAAATATTATCAGATGTCAGGTAAAATACTACGATACATCGGATAATACACTAGTACATAGTAACATAGCGGTTAAAGGAAATCCTACTATCAAAAATGGAGATAGCGAAGAATAATCAAGATCAAAAGTCAATGGAAACAATACAAATTGGAAGCAGAGCAAACATGATCGTATCTCTAAAACAGCAGAGGTGGGATCAGATGCCGTAGAGGACTAACCATCGATTGTAATCGTGTGTCATTAACTTAGAGCGTCTGCTCTAGAAGGAGTTGATCCTTACGTCGCGGGTTTGAATCCCACTGTGGCACGTGTGTGGCAACGCATTTTAAAAAAAATTACGCATTTTGAAAAAAATTTTCAAAGTGCGTTAAAATTGGGACAAAATCAAAGCACTTTGAAAATGTTTTTGAAAGTGCGTTAAATTTGGGACATACTCAACGCACTTTGAAAAAAGTTTTCAAAGTGCATTAAGAGTTTACATCAATATATTTTACCATGGATACACTTAACGCACTTTGAAAAAAAAAATGTAAAAACAAAAATTCTGATTTTAGATTTAGTAATGGAAGGATTCTATTTCAGTGTTATTTATCTTTCAGTAAACTTATGAATTGATTTACTCCCGTCGAGAAGAGGAGAAGATAGGTAGAAGATCTCTCTCTTAAGAATAACGCTTTCTCTTTCAATAGAAAGGCGTCGATAACAAATAAAACGGGGGAGGGGAGTAATGAACCCAAAAAGAGTAATCCGCATTTTCAATGCCTACATGATGTATATCTAATCAAAAATAAGTGGGTCTAAGCCCCCCTCCCCTTGCCCTTCGCCCGGTTATGATGCCTATGCTATACCCAAACAATGGATATGTATTTAGATTACCGGTAGACGTTGAAAACTATCAACAATTGAATTAACTTAAAACAGTTGAAAACAAGAATTTTACAGGTACAGTAAAACGTATGAGAGAGAAAGAATTTTTATAGTCTTGGAAAATCAAATTGCCCCTTTTTCTTAAGATAAATCTATTCGTTCACTTTTAGCCCCCCCCCCCCCCCCCCCCCACATCTACTTACTGCAGACTAGAAATTTTAAAAAGTAACGAAATAATGATATTAAACAATCATCTCTATTTCCCTTTTACAATATTTATCAAAACCTAAAATATTTAAAACGTCAATATCTCAGGTCCTGAAGTGACCTTATCACCAAAATGTTATCCAACCAGGGTCAATTATTACTTATTATACCGATTATTTGTAAATATATTTGAAAAGAAATTTAATTTTTTCAAAGTGTGTTAGCTTGGTCCCAAGTCTAACGCACTTTGAAAAAAATTTTCAAAGTGCGTAATTTTTCAAAGTGCGTTGTAACAGACGTGGAGACCGGCCTTAGGATGAGACCGTATAAACTGAGGTCCCGTGTCTCAGTAGGTGTTGGCAAGAAAAAGATCCCTCCCTGCTCAATGGCCCTGAGTGCCGAGTATAGGACAAAATTAGTAGCTCTCCACCCGCAAGTGGTGGCGTCTCCATATGAGTGAAAAATTCTCGAGAGGGACGTTAAACAACATACAATCAATCATTAACTTACCCATCTCAACACACACATTGCAAGATCTTTTTCACATCGATGCATTAAAATGTGTTGTAGAAAGTTCTTTTTCTCTAAGAATTATCAACACCACAAATTTCGGAAGGGTTTTGTTGTCATACATCTTTAATTTGTGCCTTGTCGTATACACTTTACTAGTATCCTGTCAAACATTTTAAATTAAGGAAAAATCATAAATGTGACTGTATGGTTTTTGTTACTTTAAAAATTAGAATACAAATGTAGGAAAGCAAATTCAACACCTAAGTGTTGGTAGTTTGGGTCCAGTGACATTTGTAGTGTTATCACATCAAACTTAAACATCAAGCATTCTGAGAGTATGGCATAAGAATAACGTTCCTACCCCCTATTAATCATTTGCAAAATTGTTTTGTACATACAAGTACTCCGAAGTTAATATCAAAATAATGCTTTCAAGAATATCTGATTGACAATATTAATGTCTTTGTTATTGCTAATTGCGACGTAATTTTGCATTTATATGACTGTATTAGGCTAACAGAATTTTAAAACTTCTACGTGAAAATTAGTCCCCTGCTGTGACCTTCAATTTGATATATCGACGATGTTTTATTTATTAACAATAATTAAATATCTATTAGATATACTAATTTTCATTTCCTACACATTGATTCTATATATCACATTGAACTCGAAATAACAAAGATAGCTCAGAGTCTGACACATCTGTTTCATATTTGGATATTTCACAAGGAAAAGAAGTTAATAGTAACCTTACAAAAACTTTTCTATCGTCAACCTCCTTTATTTGTGTAGCAATATACATGTACCATTATCAATTAATTCAAATTGTGTATAGAAATTACAATCCTAACTGATTGATACACAACAGCATGCATTCTTTTTGTATGAAAAATTTCTGAAATAAGGTAATTATTTACAATAAGTTGATGAAACAAGGATAGCAACAGTCTCAGCTCGTTTGAAGTCGACATCGTTCAATATAATGACCTTATTAGTAAGTTTTTACACGTCTATCATTAAGCCGAATGTTGACTAATCTTTTCTCATATAAAGTTGTTAGGCCAATATTTTCATACCGAATTGCAATTGTATTCAGATTTTATCTTTAATCGGATCACAAAGAGCACGCATGTCACTGGTCAACAGGGAGATGTTTACTCCTCCATTGCACCCGACCCCAGGTCTAAGGCTTTTAGGGGACCTTGACAACTTCGTTCAGGCAGGGTGGTCTGGAGGGCCTTGGTTTTCATGTATTTAAGAGTAAAACCAAGCATGATAATAGTGGTATTTGCTTAGTTATCTTCCAAAGTATGGTATTGTTAACATAAGTCTTATCATACTTTGTATGAAGGGGGCAAAGGGGGCGAAGCCTCATGAAGCTTCTAGGTTTTGTGTATTTAAGAGTAAAATCGGGCATAATAATAGTGGTATTGGTTAGTTATGAACCAAAGTATATTATAGCATTGTTAATATAAGTCACACACTGTATCATATTTTGAAAATTTTAGGGGGCGTGCGCCCCCACCCCCTCCCCCCTTAAATCCGCCAGTGACTTCTCTTCGGTGCGTGGGGAATAATCACAGAACTATGTAGAACCATGTTTAAATAATAAACAGAGATTTTGGTAAAAATTCTTTTCAAAAAAAAATCTTTCTAAAAGATATCATTCTTATTGTTAAAAGATGTACATGTTTCTTGAAAAAAGAGATATCTGTTTTATGATGCATTGCACCAAAATGTTTCTTTTCACTCTTTATTTGAATCAAACATTCCCATCGGCGTAAAGCAACACCTTGTTCCACTGGCTGAACTCTTTAAAGCTGATTGTCTGGGGCGGAGTCAAATTAAAGACACAAAGCACGTGCAAGTTTTCTGTAAACTTTTTAATTTGTTCTACATCACAAAAAGCTAAACCGAGTCAAATCAAACTGGCTCCGTCTACTACGATTTAATTGGACAGCGATTATCAATTCAATTGCGTAATACTTAGTAACCCGTTGTCAAGTATATGTGATTTTGGTTTTAACTAATCAGCAATCAGAAAGACAGCCAACGAACATTTTTTAATGGAGCAAAGAAGAGCTCAGTTCTCACGTAATGCGAAAAGAAACACTGGTGCAATGCATAATAATAGGTATCTCTTTAAGAAAGAGATAAACGTAGCTACATGTACATACAGTATAATTTTAGTGAGAATTTTCCCCAAACAGTAAACATTGTTTGCAAGTGTTTGGAATTTAACAATTTTAAAAGGTCTTTTACACGTTTTGTTTTGTTTGTATGTTGTTTAACGTACGTCCCTCTTGAGAAATTTTCATTCATATAAAGATGCTCTTCAACGCGTTCAACACGTATGAGTAGAATATGTCTTTTCCAAGTTACTTCCAACATTTACAAGTCGTTATAGGTTCATCGTTGGATGAAACATATTGAGATAACGAACAGTATTCAAGATCAAAAGTCCATTAAACAATACAAAATAGGAGCAGAGCAAACACGGACCTCCAATTAAATCATTCAGTTGGAGATGGGATCAAGTGCCATGGAGGAGTGACTATCCCCTGCCGACCGTTCAGACCTGCCGTGTGCTCCTTGTCAGATCGGAAAATAACGGGAAAAAAACAGTGTATAAATAATGGACATACAATTAGTATGAAAAAGGTCAGTCAGGATTTGACTCAATGATAAATTGTATTTGTATCGACCAAACAACTTAAGAAATGATGACTTTAGACGAGATTGCTGATATTCTTGTTTCATCAACTTGTTTGTCAATAATTTACCTCGTTGTAGAAGCTGTTCATACGTAGAGCATGCTTTTGCGTATCTAATCAACTGAGATACGTAACTGAACTACTTATGCAGGTGATGAAGGTATATATTGCTGCATAAGTAAGGGAAGTTGAATATAGAAAAATTAAAGTCATCGCGTTTATCATAATTAGCTTTGTTGTTAGATAACCATGAACGTCTTTTTCAAGTAAAAAGCAATTTAAAACAACATAGATATTGTCAATCAGAAACTCAAGCATCTTTTTGATGTCAATTTCAGAGTACTTGTGTGCACAATCAGAATGTTTTAACAAAATAATTTTGCAAATGACCAATGACCAAGGTACGTATGTAAAAATATGATTTCCATTTTTATTGAAAAAGCAGCTGTCAGTGATATCAAAAAGCTTGGACTTTAATTTATCGTCAAGGTGGGAAATGGTTGTATATAAAGTTGAAAAGTCGTAAGATTTTAAGCTGTTGATTTTTGGTAAAATCTTCAGTGGGGAATGGTTATGGCACGCCAAATTCACAAAAATGAGATAAACATAGTTTCACAGTCGATAAACTAGGTTTATCGGTTGTAAACTATAGTTTACGAACTGTAAACTATAGTTAACAACGTTAATCTATATTTTACATCTGTAAACCATAGTTAACGCGATAATCTATGTTTCACAATCGTAAACTATACTTAACACTGAAAACAATCATTTGCGATTGCAAAACATAGATTATCTGATAAATACAGTTTCACGATTTGTAAACTATAGTTTACAAACCGTTAACTATAATTAACGATCTGATAAATATAGTTTCACGATTTGTGAAACTATGATTAACAACTCTTAACTATAGTTTACGATTGTAAACTATAGTTTACAAACGTGAATCTAAGTTTATCAACAAAATCTATTGTTAACGCTTATTACAGACACTCAGATAAACTTAGATTATCATTCGTAAAGTATAGTTAACAACCGTTAAATATAGTTTTACAGATGAAAACTATACTTAACGAATCGTTAACTATACTTAACGAATTGTTAACTATAGTTTACGGTTTGTAAACTATAGTTTACAGTCGATAAACCTAGTTTATCAAATGTGAAACTAGGTTTATCTCAATTTTGTGAATTTGGCGTGCCATAAATGGTTGTTTATAGCGAGCGCAGCGAGCTCAATAGACTAACGTGTAAGAACAGAGGAAATTCGGATTGAAATCTGTACATACGTCAGCCAAATTTCTCTGTGCAACATTCCCAGAATTCCCGCACTACCCAATGTCCTTTGCGCAAATAAATAAATAAAATAATAACGTAAAACATAAATGGCTAGATCAGTTTGTAGAAATCTTTCAAAGAAACAAAAAATAACTCTACAATGTTTTTCAACCAAAATTGCACTAGATCTATAGTTTCAAACAGACGCTCGGTTGTCTCTGGTTTTTATATTTCTCCGTAAGCTCCGACGAGCTCCGTGACGTCGTGTGACGTCACAGTTAGTCGAGATATCTCGTGCGGCTTGATATTTGAAGTGGATTTAGAGTGTTTTTGATGGTACAACTGCGCTCACCCCAACGGTCACACCGTAAAACATATTAAAGTTGAAAAGTCGTAAGATTTTAAGCTGGTTTTTTTTTGGGGGGGGGGGTGTTAAAATCTTCAGATTTCAAATTGTCCAAAAGTTCCGTGGAATTTTTAAGTATCCATATCTGCATGATTTACACCACTTCTTGAATATATTGTTGTACAGTACCAGGGACCTATTATATACTATGGTTAGTATATAGGTCCCTGTCAATACTCTTGAAGATTCTCCTTCACTACTGTTAATATCTTAGTGAAGAGTAAAAAAGAGACTTGGTTGAACATTTACTGGAACATCCTGTGTATCTTTGTAAGGATTCTTTTGAAGTTTCAGAATCCAATATAGATATGGTAGGCCTATAGTTCAAACTGTTCACTTTTGGTTCTTTTTAATTGGTATATTCAGTAAAAAATATTCAAAATTGACAAATAATTATAATAATTTTGTTTGGAGTAAGGATTTTTTTGTCAAAATCATGAAATAGTTTCAATAAAAAAGCAAAATTTTATGGAGCATTTTCTTGGCAAACTTTGCTGTGTGTATTTGTGTGTTGCGTATTAGCTTGACCGAATGAGTCATTGTACGATCTAACATACCCATACGCGCGAAATTCGGATGCAGAGAAAGACAAGAACGTATCTTTCTAAAATTCTTGTAAATGTAGGTGTTCGAAAACCAAACTAAAAGGAGTTAGTTTAAATAATGCAACAGTTTTCAAGTAGAAACAATATCGTAAAAATTGAAATGCTAATGATGTAGAGAAAATATATAACGGTATCCATGGTATCTGGGTATGTATTGTGAGGGCATTTTCAGAATAAACATAGCACTCCAATCTTTACACTCTAACTTTAATATTGCTTATGAATTAATAACAAATGAGTATTACAAAAAATGGATCCGTAATTCTTCCTTTAATAAATATATAACAAATTTGATTAAACAGTGATGGTAATATTAGAATTTATTTAGGCCTAGCTATTAATATTTTCTATCATCATCAGTTTCTTTTTGATATTTAGGTGTAACAGTGAATTCAGAAGATGGATGTTCAGTAGATAAGTACGTAGTCTGTGATGAGAATGCTGACTGTGAGGACACTTCCAACGGCACGGTAACCTGTACGTGTAAGGGGGAGTACCAGGGGGACGGACTGAAGGGGGACAACCACACGGGCTGCAGACTCCGTAAGGAACAAATCCACAATTGTATCAAAAAATAGACTATCAGGCTTTTTTTGTTGTTGAATACAGCTAATATTATGATTGACTGTTAGGCTACAACTTCAATTTACTAAGTTACTAAGTATATATACATGCAGGTATAACATTTAAATTCAAAGGATTTATGAATGATGTTTTATTATCTATATTGTTAACAAATAATCTATACACCGCCTGATAAATATTTTCTAACAAACTTGAACACAATGCTCATTTAGCCACTAATAGATAAATACAGAGTTTATCTGAAAATTAACCAATTTAAGTTACAAAGAAAGTATGTGTAATATATACACACTAAGAATCCCTTATAATTTAATTAAACTATTGTTACCCCAGATTTCTATTATCATGCACAGCGGGTGACCACCATCCCTGTACAAATGAGACAGCAGCTGAGGAGTGTCATTCTTATGCTGTGTGTTCCCCCGGCGGATACTGCGAGTGTAAATCTGGAAATAGATATAAATTTTAACATTGTGCCACGTCCATGTGTAGGTCACACATATGAATGTGTGCATAAATTTTATTACAGGCAGTGTAAATATAAATTTTTTTATGCAAAAACAAACTGTCTGAAAAAAAAAATACATTGTACATTATAATTGTCATTAGATTGTGGGCATGTCATTTCAATATTTAGAGTCTAAAATTACTTAAAACTGTTCATTTAGAATGTGAATAGTAAACTGATTTCAGATGATATACACTTATACATCATATACATGCTGAAAATATGTTAATTCCCAACAATATTGTATAATTTGGAAATACATATACACAGATATTTTTTGATTTTACGTAATAACTTTCCTTTTTTTAAGATATTGATGAATGTGCCACACTTCATCCCTGTCATGTTCATGCCAACTGTCAGAACCAGTTAGGGACATTCCAGTGTGTCTGTAAAGCAGGATACAGAGGGGATGGCTTCAATTGTTCATGTAAGTGTAGTTTTTTTTAGAGTTACTGTATAAGCATATTATTTTCATTGATTTGTCATCTAAAAAGGTTTTGAAGGCATTATATCAAGTTTTAATAAACAAAATTTTATCCCCAATGGATATTTCTGCTTTTACAGTATTTCTCTGTGTGCTTTTTAGAATTATTTAGCACACTGCTTTCCTGTGTTGAGATTATTGAGCTTGCTGCTTTTCTGTGGTGAGTTTTTCAGCTGATGTTGTTTGTTTTAGTTTATTGTAAGCAGAATGAAGACTGCCACAATGATGCTGTCTGTGTTGACAAAGAGTGTGTTTGTAAGGGAGGTTACTCTGGCAATGGAACACATTGTACAGGTACGGATTATAGATTGTGTTAAATGTCCAGAGTACAGAGAGTGACTTTTATTTTATTACATGTACGTTCAACAACAACAACAAAAATCATTTAATTGTTAAATCCAAAAAATTGGATAACATTACATGACATTTTGTCCACCAAATGATGAGAAAAATTTTATATTGTAATACATCTGGTACAAGCATAAGCTAACATTTTTAGTTTATAAGTTATACAACAACAAAAATTTAATGTTCTTAAAAGTTATAAATTGTTAAATCCATTTGTAAACTATATTGATATGTATTAATTCCTGTATCCACATAACATTTTGTCTTAATATTTCACCAAATGATGAGCTAAAAATTTGAATATATTGAGTGTGATACATCATATATCTGACAAGCATAAGCTGCTTAACATTTTTAGTTTATAAGTTATAAATTTAAAAAAAAAAAATCACAAAATTTTGCAGATGTTGCAAACAGAGTCATATGGAATAAAAATTTATTTTATTGTAATTGTAGATATTAATGAATGTGACTTAAAAACCTACACCTGTGACCCAAATGCAAATTGTGAAAATATTGTGGGTAGTTATTTTTGTGTGTGTAAGCCAGGGTATACTGGTAATGGAAAAACTTGTACAGGTAAGTCATTATACATGTATATAGAAAGCCCAGTACGTGTATATGATAAACCTCTTTATTTTTAGAACAAAGTCATTAAAGACAAATAAATGGAATTATGCACAATCTTCACCAGTCTTATATATGTCAAGTCTTAGGTACACTTGCTTCATGTTAACTTGTTTTGAAAAAAAGAAAATTTTGAAGTCTCTTTGAAGCTTTTAAGACAAAAATACTATTAATACTGTGCATGCTTGTATGATTGCAGTATTACCAAAGAACTGTGATGAAATTTTACAAAAGGATAAAAACTCAAAGGATGGAGTATATACTATAGATGCAGATGGGACTGGTCCTTTATTGGAGTTTCAGGTATATGCTTATTAGACACCTTGTGCAGGATTATTTACATTGTCAGAAGAATAAAAATTGCTGCTGCTACTGTATTTACAAATTTTCGACACAATAAGATTTTTCTCATTTAAGGTTTACTGTGACATGCGGCCTGATATAGGAATCACCATTATGAACACCACCGCCCCCACCACTGTCATTACTCAAGGTCAGCCAGAGGTCAACATTACCTACAATGCCACACTGCCACAGATCACCAAGGTCACAGAGATCTCCAATTTCTGCTATCAATACATGGGGTAAGATATGTCGGAAGATATTTGAACATTGTATTTGCCTTAAGTTTACCGTATTTGAATGTCTGTTTTCACAATATCTGACACCTGTGTATATACAGTAAGTATGTAACATTGATATAAAAAGGTAACTTAAGAATTGATTATAAATTCTAATACACTGTGTCATTACATAATGCTAATCTGAATAATCCATTGACTCCTTGCTATGATATAACATACACAGCTATGTCACAGGTGTTGGTTGCATCATTTCATCATTTGATAGCATGATCAATTGTCAGCTTTCTAAGGGAATGGAAGTGTTGATATAATACTATTACTAGCAATGTAATAAAAAGCTAAATTAATGTATTAAAACCATTTGTTATGTTTTTCATACAGAACAACCTGCAGAAACAATGCCAAAACTCTAGATGGTAATGATTACTGGGTAGATGGTAAGGGGAACCAGCACAAAACATGGGGAGGAGCAGTTTTTGAGGGCAAGGTTAGATGGCACATGCACTATGTCATAAGATAAATTTTATATAAACTATATATAATTCAGTATCCGTGGAATGCACATCATTAAATAAAACAATTTTAAAACAATGCTACATATTGTTCAGTATTTTTAATTTTAAATTTTGTTAAATTTTATTATAGTGCTCCTGCGGGCAGCTGCGTTATTGTGAAACAAGACAAGCCAACTGTAACTGTGATGGTACTCGCTCGGGAGCTAAGGACGAGGGGAAGATTCTGGACAAGAACCAGCTCCCCATACAGACAGTAAGATTCGGTCTGGATACCTCATCCCAGAAAATGGAGGTAGAGATCGGGAATGTGGTTTGTGGCCCCAAACCATTTGGTAAGTCTGTAAATACATTCATACAGTACAGTGTATGTAGAATCAGTTCTTATTCAGTGTTAATTAAAATTCTATTGGACTGTGTCACATGTAAAAAAAAGTTCATGTTTTTAAGAAGAATCTCAAGCATACACACATGTATTTTAAGTACATTTTTGGTACAATAGAATCAGGGACTTTGAGGAGAGTTTCAAAATATAAATTGTTTCTTGTAAACCTGTACATGTATTTCCAGGCCCTCAGTTTATATTAGACTGTTCTGATAACAACAATAAGCTATCTACCATCTACATCAGTAACAACTCTGTACTGACTTTGTTTATGTTTTTCAGATTTCCCAATAGACTGTGATGATGCCAAGTTTAACAATCTGTATAAAGTGAAGAAAGACGGAGCCCAGATTATTGACATTGACGGCCCTGACGGTCCTACAAACCCCGTCCTTGTCCACTGTGACATGGAGTCCTACCCACACGTGGGGATCACAGTTATCCCCCATGACAAGTAAGGAAATGACCACCTCTCTCTTGTACACAGTTATTTTGTTGACTTTCATTTGCTTGCTTCTTTTTAAAGCATTCTTGTGACTTTATTTCTTTGTTTTCACAGTTTGAAATTTAAATCTGACTGTTCAATATTACCTGTGAGCTTCATGTTTCTTTTTTTATCTACTGCATAATCCAATAAGTTTTATAAAAACATATATGTATGGTTAATTACATGTATATAAGATCTGTACTTGTAGCTATGACCCAGTGTCACCTACCACTCCAGGACAACACAACCTGACCTACGTAATAGACAAACCCTCCATCCTGAAGATCATAGAGGAATCACCATTCTGTAGACAGGATGTGGAATACTCCTGCACAGTATGTATAGTTATAGAGGTCATAGCTATTATTAACCTTTTCAAAAGAATGCTAAAAGTAGAAAACAACGTATTGAAGTGGTGGATATCAGTTTAAATGTTTGATGAAAATAAATATAGTTTTCCCATCTTTACTATGGAAGTGCTTGAAAATGTAGGACAGAAGAATAATTTAGTACATCAAACATACATTTAGTCTTTGATATACATTGTACTTGTATAATTTTTGTAGGATTCCAGACTGATGAATGGTGGGGACAAGAAGGGCTATTTTACAGACATTAATGGTGTGATGAAGGACTACTGGCCTGGGGGGATGGGGATAGCTGGAATGTGTGGGTGTGGCCTGACCAAGTCATGTGCTGAACCAGACAAAAATGTAAGTAATAATAACAGTCAAACCTCGTTATCTCAAGCTCAATGGAACTAATAGTAAATATCCTGATATCCAAAGATTTGAGATATCCAGGGTCAAAAACTAAAAGGTGTTAGAACTTCCAAATAACTCTGCCATATCCATGGTATTCGAGGTCTTCATGTCTGAGATACCAAAGTTCAACTACATGTACCGTAAATGTATTTTGAAAAATAAAGAATGTGTGATGTTAAAAAAGCAAATAAGAGCTGTACATGTAACATGTTTGGTATCTTAATTAAATGGGGGATTGATTATTTTAAATCATATTATTAAAAATTGGCTATTCATGTAATGTTCTTTTTTTTGTGAAGTGTAACTGCGACACAATAGATGGAACACCCAGGAAAGATATTGGTGTGGTCAGTAATAAAGGGGATCTCCCTATAGGCTCCGTGTCCTTCAGTGACATTGGGGGGAGCAAAGCGGGAGAGTATTATGTGGCAGCCCTCAAGTGTAGTCGACAAGAATTTGGTAATTATTAAATGATTTTGATTTATATTCTTTAGGACTTAAGGGGGCCTACTGTAGTTTCCATTGCGCAATATTTCAAACATCATACAAAAATTAAGAGTATTTACTGTTTTAAAGCAATTTTTTTTGCTTGATTAATAAAATTAAACAAAATTAAGAAATTACAGGTTCAAAAATGTAATAACAATTTTATATAACTGAATTTTTAACCAAGTTTGCAACTGATAGGTAGGTTGATGTCGTAATAGTGTGTTTTTGACGTTATGATAAACTGAAGCTCTTAAAGAAAGGGATAATAAAAATGTTATTAAATAAAAAGTATAAAAGATACACTCTTAAAATTTAAAACATAGAAATTTGATAATTTCTCCATTATTTTTATAATTTTTTCATATAATACCTTTGTGCCCACCATATTTTGTAGTACTCTATAAAAATAGGAAAATTCGTTAATTTTTGGCCTTTTGAGATGCCCTTTCTGGTAACAAGGCGGTAGAATTTTGTGTTTCTTACACATAATGTACAATATAGTATTACTCATCATATATTATAGTTTGAACAAAAAGTCTTTTGTAGTATTTGTATAATTTGCTTTAAAGTGCTAAAACTGGCACTTTCCTATATAATCCTATAGTAAATGTACCTATATTTTGAGATAGTCCCTTAAAATACCTGGACGGTAGATTTCGCCCAAACTTTGCATGTACACAAAAGTTAATGTAAGTTATTTATGGCATAAAAATGAAGAGTTTCGCTATTGTAGTTTTCACACAATAAAACCATAGTCGGCTCTCTTAATATTAGATGAATTTTTGATCATGTATAACTCTTTTAAGCGTTTTATCTGAAATTCAATGTGAAAATTTATGTATTGAGGAAATGTATGACAAAAGTACCATAAATCAAAAAAAAAATAGTTATAATTCTCACTGACATCAATAAAGAATATTCTTTTGAACTGTGAAAAAAAAATTGTGCATGAATAATCATTATACAATGTTTTATCACCAGGATTTGAGGTCAATTGTCAAGGCTACCTGAACCAAGGTCAAAACTACAGTTACACCTACATGGTAGATCCTGATGGTCCAGTTCCTAGGGACAAATCAGACCCCACCAATGTGGCCCCCCTCCCAGTGGAGTGTAAGATGAAGGTGCAGCCACCACATGCAATAACAATAGTCCATCACGAATCAGAATCGGAGGTAAACCTAAAAAAAACATTGAAAGATCCATTGGAAAAAAACTCTACCCAATGGTTTGCATTCTAATAGAAGTCTGAAAACCTAATTATTGCTAATTAAATTTGATTTCTTAACAAAGAGAAAAAGTTGAAGACTTTCATCAATGATCACATAATTAAACTATGCTATGCACATAATACAGAAAGAAGATGGAAAGTTGATTTTTTATGTCTATATTTTACAGCAAACTATAATAGGAGGAAGTATAGTCTTCAAGTATCGCTATGCAACTGATGAACAACTTATAAAGCTGCGGGAACGTTCTGTGTATTGCTCACAGTCGGTTGTCCATAAGTGTATAAAATCCCCAGTGTTTGCACAAGGTCAGTCAGGTTTTACATGTATATAATATTAATTAAAATGTAATCAAATCTTATTTTTCTATCTGTTCCTTGAGCTTTGATAGTGAAAGGAAAAACATGCCAAAAAATGTTTTTATAAAATAAAACAACCATCTTTATTTGTGGGTCATGCAGTATAAAGATGTCATACAATTATCCTAATTGCTATGCCATGACTCTAATTTTACAGATGGTTCCTCCATTGGTTACTGGGAGGATGTGAGTGGATCCAAGCATTACTACTACACAGGCAAGGAAGGGGAGGGGTGTGCCTGTAAACTCACCCAGAGCTGTGCGGGGGGATCTGATGACAAATGTAACTGTGACATCAATGACCTCACCCCCAGGTCAGGAAACTCAATAATTAAGAGGGGCATGCTTATTTTCTATCAAGTCTGAATATCTGAGACATTTTATCTAATTCTTTTGTTTTCTTTGCGTGAAGGAATGACTCAGGAACACTTCTTAACAAGGAGGACCTTCCAGTTAAGAGCATGTTCTTCAGTCCCACTGGAACTTCATCTGTTGACATTGGGCCATTGGAATGTCTTGGTAGAATTTCATCATTTTTTGCTAGCATGCATACTTTCTTTTTGACTTTATTTCCTATGATATGAATAGATTTTAGTCAATGATAAGATATAATTTCAATGAAATAAAGGAAATTATTTTCTGACACACATAAAAAAATCAAAGGAAAAAAAATTATATGTTTTCATGTATACTTGTATCTGTAGAGGTGTTCCCTACCTGTGCTGATCTGTACTTCTTTATGGCGGGTAAGCGCTTGAAGAGCGAGAACATGGTCAAGAGTAATCAGGACTACACGGTAGATCCAGATGGACCAGGAGGAGTGGCACCGTTTGCTGTCAGCTGTCATTTCCCAATGACTGTCGTCAAAATTGGTCCTGGTGAGTTTCTGATAGGCAATGTTTTGTTGTGCTTTATATAAAACATTTGTGCAGGAATTTAAAGAAGACTTTGAAATCAGTGGGGTAAAAGGAGATGTTTTAAAGTTCTGATAAAATTGAAATGACACAATATTGTGTCCAGTAGAAAGACTTTGATTTCAAGAAAAGAAGAGTACATTTCTATCATTCTATGTAAAGTTTGTATGTATGAAAAGTAAAGTATTTTCTTATTCTACAACTAAGGTTACTTTAACTACACATTTGGCAAACCTGGAGACTCCCCAGTCACTAAATGCTTTAACATCGAGTATAAACCAGATGTCTCAGCAGAACAGATAACGGTGGGTTTTCTTTACTGACTTTTAGATAAATTTATTTTATGTTCGAACCTTACTGGCAGGCCAAGGCAACATAGCAGCTCTGTTTGTTTCCAAAATTCATAACAGAAGACATGTTAAGTGTAAAAAACTTGTCATTTAAATGAAATCCATAAAAACAATTCTTGACTTATTTCCAACACAAATTAAAGCTTTGAAAATTAATGCAGTAGCTTATTTTAAAGCAAAATTTAATGTTTTTAGGCTTTGGTTGCACAATCCACTCACTGTACACAGCACCTCAGATACACCTGTACAAATGCTCCGAAGACAGACAAAGTCACCTTCAGCACCTGTGATGGAAAAAAACAGCCAGGTAAATCTAAGAATCGCCTTTTCTCACAAAACCTATAAATTTTGCCCGCAATTTATGCCCACACAAAAAAGTTCACTTTGTTTACAAGGAAGATTAGATCTTACATGTATGTTTTGTAGAAAATAAGGAATGATAGGATTTGATATTTGTATATTCCCTAAGGTTGGGGTGGATCCGGGGGTATGGACATGTGTGCCTGTGGGACCAGTGGAACGTGTGCTGGAGAAGCAGGGGCCAAGTGTAACTGTGACCTGGAGGACGGACAGTCCCGGGGTGATGACGGGTGGATCTATGACAAGACTCGCCTCCCTGTGTGTGAAGTCTGTCTCACCCTGGACCCCACCAACCCAGAGGCACCGAGCAGGACAGCAGCCTATGTAGTCTCCAACCTCCACTGTAACAGTGGACCTATAGGTGAGAGGTTACAGCTAATAGTAAGAGCAAGGTGTATTTTTTTTTCAACTTTTATAAAACTTTAACTTGTAAATGTTTTGCTGCAATGCAAGACATATGTGTATTTTCTTTTGCAAAATTCCCTTTCTGAAAGTCATATCAAAATGCACATTTACATTTGTATACTTTATAGATTATACTTTTTGATAATTATATATAAATTAGAAATACATCTACATAGACCACTTTCAATATTTTTAATAAATGAAGGTAATTTTTCAAAGGGATGTATGGTTCCTGCCAGGCAAGAAGAAATGCTGGAGAGTATAAGAATGCCACCACTTATGTGGACCCTGATGGTCTGTGGTCTGGAGAACAGGGATTCCCTGTGTACTGCTCCTACGTTCCTCATCCACCTCTAGGGTTCACTGTAAGTTAATAAATTCTACTCTTAGCTTTTATTTTCATCTCAAGATGTAAATATATGCTATGTACATGATGTATGTTAATAAAATTGCTATATTTCAGTAAACATTCTTATTCAGGGAGAGTATTTGAATAATAATACATTCTTTCCATCTCAAAACTGAACAGAGGTTCAATATATATGTAACAGAGTTGCTTTCTCTTTACTAATAGGAAATTCGACCTAAGGAACCAGTGATTACAATAGAGTTCATTGGAGGAGATATTGAGATCTTGTACTATGTATTTAATCTCAGTCTAGTACACATGCTGGTTAACAAATCAGTGTACTGTGAACAAGAAATCTACGTTCTTTGTAATGGTGCACCAGAGCCAAGCGAAGACCAGGGACGCAAAATGACCGACTGGGAGGTACAGGCTGAAGGTAGGTGCATTGAACTTAACTTGTTTTAAGGCTGCTGTGACCACTCATATAGTATATATGTGATTTACATAGAGAAATGAAATTTATGAAAACACTTGCGAAATGCACAAAATTTCATTTATGGTGGGCAATATTTAACAAAAATAGACTTTAGAATGGAAAGTTTTAGACAGGAATACTATAGATATTTTTTTATCCTAGTGGGAGTTGTCTCTCTTGTAGGAGGGTCAGTGAACCTTAAGAATGCTTTCTTTTATATGTATTTGTGGTGGGGGGAATCCAGTGTAAGGCAGGTAGTTGTATCTGTACAAATGATGGGACAGAGGTTTTTAATGTTTTCATTATATTTCTGTTGTAGGTGGTGGAATTCAGTGTAAGGCAGGCAGTTGTCTCTGTACACACGATGGGACAGAGGTTTATGGAGGAATTATTGGTGTTCAGGATCTCCTGCCAGTGAGCAAGATTAATCTCCCCCAGTCTACACAGCGAAGAAAACTCAGCACAGGGGCCATGAAGTGCTATGGTAAGGGAAACTCAAGGAATTTTTAATGAATGATGTCCGTTGTGGTATGTAAAATCACATGTGACATGTAAAATCATAATACTATAATATTACCAATTTCTAAGAAAACTGCTTTTGATATTATATATCTGTTAACTTTTTATTAACAAACAAGATACCCTATAATCCCTATTAACCGCCCCTGCCCCTATAAGCGCCCCCTTAAGTATTTTTCAATTGTCAGGAAATAAGGGGCCCTGTACAGTTATTAAAATCAACTAGAACAGGGTTCGAAATTAACTTTTTTTAGAACTAGTCCGCACAGACTAGTGGCTTCTAACTTCCACTCGACCGCAAAGTATTCCACTAGTCCGCCCACTAGTATGTAAAAAGAATAACACAAATTTTAAATTTTTATCAATTTATTCAATGAAATATGTGTCCACATATCAGTTAGAAACACTTTATCGCGGTTGTGTTTCTCATTTATTTTCAAACGCCTGAGAGACTCGGAAATAAAATGAAAGACTTCTAACCAGATATTCACTAGTCCGCACGGACTAGTACCTTACAAAGTCTGCTAGTCCGACACAATTTTTACTAGTCTCGGACTTACGGACATGAGTTAATTTCGAACCCTGTAGAATCATATACAAAAATTGAAGAAAGTGAAAATAAAACTTGTCTAGTATTAACCAATTTCTCAGTGGAAAATGAATAATTTAGCATAATTTGGGTGGATTATCTTCACTTTCAGTAAAGTTAGAAATTATTTTAGTGGTTCCTTGTATTTATTTTTTTTTTTCAAGATTTTTTGAAGTTAAAATATGACATTAAATATCACAAAGAGAATACCAAAATAACCACCCCCTTTTTGCAATTTTCTAAGCGCCCTGGGCGGTTAATAGGGATTTTACGGTAATCTTTAGTACATGTATTTACTAACATCAGTAATATTTTATTTGAAAGAACATGTTTATTGATTGCATATAACTTGAATACACTGTATATAAAAGGATTTTATGAATATTATGAACATGACAATTCATTTGTATTGCACAGCATGTACCTTGATATTGTTAATTGCATTATGTGGGTATACGCGTATTTTTACTCACTACATGTATAACCAAAAAGAATATTTTCTTGTTACAGATGTGTATCCTGATTGTAATGAGATCAAGATAGCCAAAATGAACAAGAACCCACTAGGAAACAACCTCTATGCTATTGACCCAGATGGTGCTGGGGGTGAAAAACTTTTCCCAGCTTTCTGCGACTTTAAAACCAACGAGAAGATAGGAATCACTGAGGTACTTTATTTATTACCTTCCAAATTGAAGATCTTATGAATACTGATATCTAAATATGAATACTCATCTGAATTTGTTTTTATGTTGTTGGAATGAGAGAAAAAGTTTTAAACTTTGTATTTCATTTGTCAGATTCCTATTCAAGAGCCAGGTGTGCCATTTAAGCTGACAATAACTGGACAGCCAGACCCTGAAAAGAACAGACACGCCATCCTGTATCCTGATGCCACACCTGAACAGATTCATCAGCTGACCACCAGATCCTCATTCTGTCACCAGGTAAACATCAAATTTCTTTGAGGCAATGAAAATATTGTTGATTGAAGTTTTTTTATCAGCAAAATTTTATTTTAAACTATGAAATCTATAATACTGCTCAGCTTTGAAGTAAGTAGGAAAAAAGACAGTCTTCTCCTATCATCATTTAAATGTAAGTATAATATAAGCACACTAGTATACCAATGAAAAGTGTTAGTGGAAAACGGTTGAACTTAACATATATGTCATTGAGTACATGTACCTCAGGGATACTAGTATGTTGAAGTTAATATTTGGTTTTAATTTTACCATTAGTTCAACTGTCATTTGTTGAACACTTAAAATATTCAAAATATTTGTACCTCAACATACTAAATGTATCAAGTTTAAGTATTATTTATGAATAAAAGTTTACAATGTTAAGATTCTTTCTGTTGACAGGGTATCCAGTATGAGTGTGTAGAGAGTCCCCTCTCCCCTAACTACGGTTACTATGACATCTACAATGGGACGAAGGTGTCCAGTTTTGGTACAGGATATGCTTCCTCTACTGATGGCTGTGCCTGCACACTGACCGGCACCTGTCCTGCAGGAAAACTCTGTCACTGTGATGCTAAAGGTGAGACTTCACAAGAAAACCAATCTGTCTAGCACATTATCTATCTGACACTAAAGTGTAAAAAAGCGGCATTACTTGAATTTATTACTTTGACTTCTCTAATGCAGCTGGCTTACCCCAGTAGATAATTTAGATTTTGGTTATAATTTACAATTGCTTCGTGTATATTGGCCAAATTTTCAACTTTTTAAAATCAATTAATGGCAAATTGCATTGTGAATCAGAATCTCATTCCTTTACCCAGGTAGTATGGTGTCTTATGATGTGGGGGAGGTGACAGATGGGACTGTCATGCCGGTGACGGAGCTCAGTTTTGGAGGACAGACGAGTAGCACTGCCACCGCTACTGCCACCCTGACCAACGTCAGGTGTGGTCCTCCCGGGGAGACTTTTGGTAAATAATATAGTGTATTAAAAGTAGAAGCATATGTATATTGCATTTTCTATTGCAAGTGAAAAGAGAATTGGATAACAAACATACATGGTATAGTATAATGTTGAAGGAATTTATGACAATTATAGTCATAATATTTTTATGAACGATGAAAAGATCATAGAAAATAATGCATGTAATATTTGGACAAATAATGCATTTGATTTTTCACCATTTGCAGACTTACCAAAGGATTGTGAAGAGGCCTATAAAATGAAATACAAGACAGGGGAAGTCATGATTTGGCCAACCGCCACAGTCAAACCGTTCTTTGTGTACTGTGATATGGAGCTGGTACCCAACCATGGTGAGAATTAGATCTCTTAGAAAACTTTAAAATTCAATTATAGATTAGGCCATATAAAATTGAAATCTTGGTTCTCAGGCGCGCGCGCATCCGTTTTGAGGTAGCCGCATTGCCGATTTTTTTGTATTTTTGATAAAATAAAAAGTTGGTGTTTCGGAGACCAATCTGGGAAAAAAAATTCCGACCTCATTTGTTTCGTAGTTTAGTATTCAAATATCACTTCCGGTAGTCATTTTCAATGAGATTTAGGCTACTTCGTTTGAAAATACATTCGAGGACATTACCTACGATGTTGACACGCTGTTAAGCAATGGATAAAGCAGAAATTTTGACCAGAAATGGAGAGTATATCTCTTTATGTAAAGAAAATTCTTAGAAAAAAAAATACCTCATCTACTTTATAATAAAATGAAAAATAAAATGCCGCCCTCCCCCATCTGTTTTGGAGAAAATTGGCCTGAGAACCAAGGAATGAAATTTAGATAGCCTTAGTTCATAACAAATGTTTGTCTAATATCAGGCTCATTGATAAAACAAAATTTCTTTGTAAGGTGTGACAATCATTGGTAATGACAGAGAGGTCCCTACTCCAGTGGATGGAACCAAGGTGGTTACTGTGACCTACAACAACGTCACAGAGAAACAAGTGGAATCACTGACACACATCTCCTCCTTCTGTTTCCAACCGGCCAAATATGACTGCTACAACACACTGGTAAATAAAATCTCCATGCTCTCTTTCTCTTTCATTAGTGAAGAAAGAAATTGAAAGTTGTCTGTGATTCATATTGTACTTGTACACTTTGTTCTGTTAACATTTTTAATGTTCTCTTTTGTAGTTCATTGGAAGCAACTTGTTTTCCTGGGTTGGAGGCAATATTCAGGATAATAGTTTCCTGGGTATTGGAGGAGAGGGACAGTGCACATGTGCCAAATCTCAGCAGTGTGGAGGGAATGTCAGTGAGGCAGTGCTCAGAACCAGGTTAGTGATAGAGACAACACAGTAAAACAGTGCTTACTGATTCAGAATCAGATCATATATGGAGACGACACTTTGAAGCAGTCCTTAGAATCAGGTGACATGTAGGCAATTTCACCATGAAGACATAAGCCTCAGTTTCAGTAAACCATGTTAAGATTTTGGTGTATATCCATTTCTTTGGTTATGTTAAGATCATTTTCATTGAGTCATATGACATAGCATTAATAAATTATTTAACATTACAGGAAATGTAACTGTGATGCGGCTGAGCTCCAGTGGAGGAGAGATGGGGGAGTTATTAACAGTACCAGTAAACTTCCCATGAAAACCCTCAACTTCCTGGACAGTCAGAGAGAGGGTGCCAAGGGGGTCATCACTCTGGGAAAACTCTATTGCTCACAAATAGACTTCGGTAAGATTAACCCCAAGCTAAGGTGTATTTTTATTAAAATTGTATTTAAAATTTCCAAATGTTTGAGATCAGTGCCTTATGCCTGTTGGCATTATTGATAGAAATGAATTCTGCACTGTATTTGTGACTGCACAAGCACCTTTTTTTGTCAGATCTGGATGAATGTAAGATGGACTTTGATGACTGTGATACCAATGCTGTTTGCATCAACAAATATGGATCATTTGGCTGTAAATGTAAAGCGGGCTACAATGGTTACCCAGAGCAACCAGGCAGATGGGCAAATGGGCGCAATTGTTATGGTAATGGATAAAATTGATTGTGAAAATTATATACATGAGTATGTCTTCACTTTAACCTTTAATAGACATACATGTAACTCAATCTGGACATGTACTAGTCAAATAAAATAGATGTTACATTTATAGTAAAAAAAAAAATATAGATAGTTGTAAATGAAGTTTTATGCATAGATATATCGCATGTAATTAGGTACATGAGCTACAAAATTAGTTCTTTTCTGGACAATCTAATTGATGACAGCTTGACTTGTTGTGAAGCTAAGTGACAAAAGATTTTCTTGTTTTCAGATGACAATGAATGTGACCTCCTGAGATGCCCCCACTCTGCGATCTGTACTAACACCATTGGGTCCTTTAAGTGTACCTGTAAGCCTGGCTATATACAGACATCTCCCACCACCTGTCAGGGTAGGTAATCCAAGATCAAGGGCGATAATTCAGGCTTAAGTGTATTCTGCAATACTTATAGTATATTATCAGGCAATGCAACACTTGTGGAGCAGTTGACCTCTCCCATATTTTCATTTGCATAATTACAAAGTAAACTGCATTAACTCTCGGTAATAGAAATTTATTATGAGAAGAGTCTTCCAGGAAAATTTTAAACATGGAACTTGACATAAAGTATGACTAAGGTTCTAACAGTATGTTTCATCTAGAACCATATTTATCATATCCATATACATTTTTGAGTTGTTAAATTTTCTCAATTTTTCAGACATCAATGAGTGTGCAGACCCCAATCTCAATGACTGTGACCCCAACGCCAAGTGTTATAACCTGGAGGGAACTTTTGAGTGCCGCTGTAAGCGTGGATTCAGAGGAGATGGCAAAACGTGTGAATGTAAGTACCAGTAATTGAGACACTTCCACATATTAATTGACAAATACCCAATGAAAAAGGAAATTTTTTTATAATTTCAAAAATGAAACAATAGAAAATGCATATCCATATTCTGAAATTTGACAATGTAAGGTTTTAGATATCTTGGATTTAGCAATGTTCACCAATATCAGTATTTCCCTACTTTAGCTGTTGGTCTGTGCTCCTGTTTTGGTGACCCCCACTGTATCTCCTTTGATCAGAAGTGGCTCCATTTCCAGGGAGACTGCCAGTACGTCATGTCACAGGACGGTTGTCACGGGACCAGCCCCACCTACCAGGTCCTGACCACCCACTGGAACCAGGACCGCCCCGGAGTCAATCACGTCTCCTGGGTCAAATCTGTCACCGTCAAACTACCGGGATATGTAAGAAATTACATTATATGTGTATTTTTGTCTTACTGTCAAATCACAAACCAATAACTTAAACGTATCCACTAAAAATACCTCTCACAAGTAATAATCAAAGCACTATAGTAAGATCTTTTGCTTAATAAAATAAAATTTTAGCACATGTACTACAAAATATTTTGAACAAATTTATATTGAAAAAAAAGAGTGAAAGGTTTACCGTGTGCAAAAATAAGGCTTCTTTATTTCCTAAGAATATGACAAATCATCATGATCATAGCAATTACATAAAGATGTTGAACTTGTACTGGCAGAACCAAGCGAAATCTTTTACAGATTTTACATTGAGTAAATTTATATCTTTCAGACAGTAGAGCTGTTACAGAACCATGAAGTGAGAGTAAATCAGCTGAAGAGAACACTGCCTTATAAACCAGAAGGGAGGTTACTCATCAGACGTTATGGAAGCTGGGTGGTAAGCTACCTTAATGCATCAATTCCAATAATCCTTTATTAGAATGAGGAGAAATATGATGATATTGTTAAGTATTTTCCTTTTCAGACATATGAAGAGTAACTGTATATCATTTATATACTTCATGCAAATTGATTTCAGACATTATCTAAGAAATTTATTGAGAGCTATGTAAATATGTACAAGTTAATGGTTGTATAACAGGAGGTGTACAGTGAGCTAGGAGTGCAGGTGAACTGGGATGGATTCCAGGCCGTGGAGATCCAGGTTACCAAGAGTTACCAGAACCAGACCTGTGGACTGTGTGGAGACTACAACCAGAATCCGGACGATGACTGGAGGCTCGGACCAGCCTGTGATGTCACAGGAGATATTGTAAGTAGTCAGTGGAGGGACTGTGGGGAGGTGTCATCTCTTTTAAAAGAAGAACATGTACTAAGGACATATTGAAATAATTTAACAGCAGTTTGATATTGTTAGATTTTATGAGGGAAACAGTTACATGCAGTCATAAAGAAATACATGGTACAAGTTAAGAAATGTATTACAGGATCTAATGTTGTTGGGAATGTCATTATTTCTTTCTTGGCTTATAATCTTTAAGTAATATTCTGCAAAGTAAAAGACAATTTTAAGGGCATTAGAAAATTATATACATTGTGTTTCCTTAAAAAAAATTATCAATCTATTGTGCAAAGCTAAAAATAAACTCATAATAATATCAGTTGTTTTTTGAAGAAGAAAAAAGTATTCATATGACATTAATATAAAGTATTAACAACAGTTTTGTTCCATTATTGTAGACAACTAACTTTAATAAGTTTGGTAACTCCTACGTGGTGAAGAGTTACGCTGACAGTAATCCACAGTGTACGTTTGACTGCTACTCCCCACCAGAAGAACCCGAGTGTCAGGAAACGGACCGACAAATCGCCGAGTACTACTGTAACCAAGTGTTTGATCTCAATGGAAAACTGAAGGTATGGAGGAAGAAATAATTGATTAAAGTATAATCTTCAAGCAAGGAAATACTCAATGGTGGAAAATTGGTGTAAAATTAATTGTACAAAAAATTATTAAGTATTATTGATCAAGAGAATTAAGGTGAAAATTTTATTCAAACTGAAGTTGTACATTTATGGTCCAGAAAATCATGATGCTGTGTATATTGACAACTGATAAACCTGTATACATTTGCAGTCCTGTTTAACAAGAATGGAGACAGCTGATTTTGAGCAGTACAAAACTTCCTGTGTTTATGATGTATGCTGGGTCAAGGACAGTATCTGTATGATTGCCAGTCAGCTGGTCAAGGATTGTCAGAACAACTACGGCCTTAACCTCACCGACTGGAGATCACCTAAACTCTGTGGTAAGTTGGTTAGAAACACACCTTACTGGTTAATCAGTAAATTTGAATTTATTAAAATTAATTAGAACAAATTGATGAAATTTTAAAAGTAAGGGTTGTAGCAGATTTTTATTTGCATTTGATGGTTATAAACTAATTGGATATTTTTTATTGCATAAAATACTTTCATTTTAGTTGAGTCTTTAATTTTTTACGGTAATCCTTAGTTTAGAAATCCATTTATTTAGGTTAGCCGTCTTAATTTTACACAATAATTTTTTTTTTCTTCAGAGAAATCTTGTGAGGAGAACATGGAGTATTTGACATGTGCCAAGTCAGATCGTATGAAGACCTGCGCAGATGTGATGGGGTCCGTATCTATCCCCACCCAGGATCTGTGTCAGGAGGGGTGCTACTGTAAGGAGGGGATGGTGCTGGACGGGGACAGGTGTGTGGAGGAGAAAGACTGTGGCTGTAACTACAAAGGGGAATACTACACAGTGGGTGGATCTAAGTTCTTTTTTTTATAATCTACAATTCTTTTACTTTTTTTTAGTTTGCCTAGATGGTACACTACAAAATTGCTCTTGCAATGCAACATTTTAATCTTGTGTTTTTGTTGATGGAAATGCTAAGTACCTATAGAAATTGATGGTGCTGAGGGCTGTACTGTTACCATGGTGTGTAATGAGGAAACTATGTTACTTTGTTCATTTTTGTTTGTGTTTTTTTTTCTCTCTTCCCTCTTTTACTGTCACACTTGTTGCCTCCTGTAAATGTAGGAGAGGTATCTACGGCTGTCACTGTAACTACATGTACCGCGGAGACGGACAGAACTGTACTTGTGAGTAGGATTCAGTTATACAAGGGAAATTACTTCTCTAGTTCCTTGAATTGTTGAAAAAGAGATTACAGTCACAGGATGAAAAGCCAGGTTTCCCTGTGGAAACATATGGCAATCGTGACATCAGTAGTTTCCATATAGTTTCCATTTTATGGAAACCACAGAGTGGTTTCCACATAGATTCCAGACATGGAAACAATTAACCTGTGGTTTCCTGCAAGTTTCCTAGTATCAAACATGTTATGATAAGTGAAGTGTTTCTGGTTTTGTGTGATTTTTGCTGATATTATAATGAAATTGTCATTTGAGACATTGCTGCCTGACACTAGATTGCTCTGTACAAATTCTCGTTAATTTAAAAACTTGTATGGATAATTATTTACAATGTGGAAACGCAAAGAAGCAAGATTAATTTTTTTTATTTTATACAATTGACAGATGACCCGTGTGGTAACAATCCGTGCGGTGCTGATCTGACCTGTTTTTTTTATCTACTGTTTTTTATAATGATTTTGTGGTAACAATCCGTGAGAGATTTGACCTGTTTTTTTTATCTACTGTTTTTTACAGATGACCCGTGTGGTAACAATCCGTGTGGTGCTAATCTGACCTGTTTTTTTATCTACTGTTTTTTACAGATGACCCATGTGGTAACAATCCTTGTGGTGCTGATCAGGCATGCGTGGTGACTGACACTGGTTTTGTGTGTGAGTGTAAGATGGGTTACCAAGGAGACTGCAACAACTGTGAAGGTCAGTAGTTTTAACTCTTAAAAAGACTACAAAATACAGACTAAATTACCAGAGAACTGCTTACTTGTATGTAAAAGGGTATTAGTGTAAAGGTGGAAACAATAATGGCATTGAATCATTGATGAATGAATAATAATCATTTGAGTATCTAATCATCTTTTTTATACTTGCTGAAGAGCCTTTTAAATATTAATTAGTAAAGTATCAAAGTTGCTTTTGCCAAATTTTTAAGATAAGGAATCAGGAAAATTCAATTTAACAACATAAATCAAATTAGCACGCATCGTGAAGAAATGAATAACGTGTCCGTAGTGTCAAAAAAAAAAAAAATTTTTAAAAAAGAGCCATGAGTGCATTATTTTCTATGTTTTAGGATATAATTTAATATTGATATCTCCTTTCAGATATTGATGAATGTGCTACACGTACAGACAAATGTCCAGATAATTCCCGCTGTATCAACACCCCAGGGTCCTACAGATGTGAGTGCTGGTCAGGATTTACCAAGACTGGGGACATCTGTGAAGGTATACATCTACCTCTACTGACATTTTAAACTTTTTTTCATTTTGGTCTATATGTACATGTATTATATGATCAACTTGGCTGTTTTCTAGGCTGTTAAGATCAATACAGTATAAAGGGGAGATAGGATTAATTAATTGGTGTATGACTGTTGACTAAAGACTCATTTCACTGTTATGGTTCATGTGCCACTTGTTCGGAATGCATTTTGGAAAATTTGAAAATCTCTCTTTGTCAAAGGTCAATCTTACTTCTTGTATGAAATATTTTTGAGGAATCTGAAGACATGTTATGTTTTCTTATTGATTAAAGTGAACAATTGCATAAACCTTTTAAATTTTACTTCATTGTATACTTATTGTAGAAGTACTTTTTTCCGCATGGTATTAATTTACGCTATGTACGCGGTCACAAACTTTCCGCAGAAATTTGTCCAAGCATACTTAATATAAATATAAGGCATATAGTGACAATCTAGAAAATCCGCATAATTTTCTACCCACGGATTAAACAGATATTGAGATTCCGCGGAATTATGACCCTGTGGAAAAAAGTACATCTACAGTATATTGATATATAAATAATATTAATATCTTCAATAAAATCTTTTAAGAGAAATAAAAATAAAATAAATTTCTTTTATTGAAATTATTAAGGCCATAATAGATAAATTGCTAGATTCTCATCCGAATTTTTTTAAAAATCGAGGCGGGGGTTTTATTTTTTCAATTTTGCAGATTTTTTATTGACCTGGTCAATCGGTGTAATTTTATCTACAATACCCGAATAAAAGTCATAGTAAAGGTTCAATTATCTCTTACTTCACATCATCACCAATCTTTTTCAACCAATGACCCTTGTTTAAAATATATACGCATGTATTACAGCAATTGCAATATCTTTTCAGCTGTCAAAATCATGTCGACTTTCACAGGATTTAAAACGAAAGTAGAATGGTAGATAAATATCCATCCCGATCAGAATTAAGACGAAGAAAAACAGAAATTAAAAAAATCGAGGCGGGGGTATAAAATCGGGGCGGGCGGGGATGAGAATCTAGGAATATCTTTATTATGGCCTAAACAGAGTTTTAATTACATGTAACATTTACCATCTGTGAATTTAAATATCATTACAGATATAGATGAATGCAAGATTTCCAGCCTGAATAAGTGTAACTCCTCCACTAAGTGCTTCAACCGTCCAGGAGGCTATCACTGTGAACCATGTGATGGTAAGACTGCATGTGGGTTAGTTAGATAGCCCATGGTATGGGAAGACTGGTCATTTTATAAGATTGCCAGGGTAATAGTAAAATTGACCCTGAGATGGTAAGATTGCACATCTGATGGTGTGGAAGTCAAGGTGATGGAAGCCCATCTAATATCGATGTTTCCCAGAAGGTTTCTTAATATTTTAATATATTTTAATTTATAGCTCTATAATTGACATCAAACATTTATAAGTTGTAAATTAGAATTGTTGAAGTAATGGACTTTAATATGGAGAGGACAGAAACTATATCTTCAGGTATATAATTATCAGGTGAGAATGGTGACTAAAAAGAGTTTTGTGGCTCATGGTCCTCTTAATTTCAATACCAGACATGTATTTTACATGTATATATCACTTTTTATTAAATCTTATTTCACTGTATTTTCATTCTTTTTCAGATACATCAGCTGTTAAATGCTGTGCCTGTTACGGATATAGATGTAATAAACCAGGGAAAGTAGGTTTACTTGTAATTTTACATGGATTTAATTGCTGAAAACATCAGTGTATTTCATAATCTTTGTCAAAAAATTCTCTCAAACTGGAAAAAAATTGTCTCCTTGATGAATGAATGGTTCGTCAGAATCAAGACTGAAGTATTGATGACACTTTAAAATAGAATCATTTTGTATCAACTGTGATACTGATTTTATAATTCTTTTCTGTTTACATGTACATGTATATAGAGGAAAATTTACATGTATTATTTTATCCCAGGTATGTGGTACGGATGGTAAGACTTACAATTCAGAGAAGGACCTAATTGTGGAGGCCTGCGAAACTGGACAGAGTGGATATAATGGACTGAGAGTGGACTACAAAGGACCATGTATAGGTATAAACAAACATGAATCTGCTCAATAGTTGTTTTGTTAAAATATTGTGGTAGATCTGATTCACACATTTTTTTTCTAAGCTTATTTTCTAAAGAGAAATGAGATACCTGTAAGTAAGAGTACATGTAATAATGATAGACACAGTGATATGAATTAATTTTGTGCTGTTAACTTTTAGATGCATGTCAGGACCAGTGTCCTGAATGGCAGAACTGTCGTATGGATGAGAACGGTAGACCAACCTGTGAATGTGAGCCGTGCAGTGCTGAGGAAACACAGCCAGAGAGTCGTAAGTACATTGTAGTGGATTATGTAGAGAGTTTGTAATGTAGCTGTTAAAATTTGTCTTTTCTGGGCACCAATTGGCACATACATCGGACACCAAAAAATGTGTTGAATGCAAAGGTTTAAAACTGAACAGACAGTAGTAAAAGTACATATACATAACAGTAGTATACGTCCTGAAAGCATTTAATTAATGCATAAAAAGATTTATGATATATGGGTCACAAGAAATTGCTATTTTTAATCAAAGTAGAAGATATTGTATGCTTGTTTATTAATTCTTGTCTGATTTATAATACAGACTTCAATTTAAAAATTTACTATAAATAATGTTAAATTCTGACTTGCTGTAAGACTAAACTTCAGGGTTGGTTATCTAATTATTTGCTGATAAATACAAAAAAAACCATAAAGATTTAAAACAAAAAAAAACAGTTCTGTACAATTTCTGTCAACACAGTAGAGTAATTTGTGTTTTGTGTTTGCAGCAAAAGTCTGCAGCAATATGCTGGATTTATACCCCAACATGTGTGTGTTTAAGAAGGTCATGTGTATGCTGGACTTGGAACATGTGTCTCTGAATTCAACAACTCCATGCTATGACAAATCTGGAGGTATACTGAATTTTCAAAATTAAAAAAAATATTTCTGTTTTGTTTTTATAAAGGTCCTAAATAACAATCAATTATAGTATTTCTGTTTATTGGCAGGTAAAATGTTGTACTTTATTTATATACTAATGTGAACTTTTTTGTTTGCAGAACCAATGACCTCAGACTGGTCCCCATGGAGTCCCTGCAGTGTGACCTGTGGGAGGGGGACCCAGATCAGAACTCGTAAACCAAACCGTGATTTTGATGCTTTCCTTGCTGGCAAATATCCACTGGAGGACGTCAAAAAATGCTACAAAGACCCATGTCCTGATGGTTAGTCTAAAGTGAAATCTTAATTATTTTTGAAGCTTTTTTTCTATTTGTTTCATGAATATTTATCATTAAACATGTTAAATATTTTCGCAATTTAGGAATTTACATGTGTGAAAATATCTCAGAATGACATTAAATTGAAGAAGCAAGATAAGAGCATAATAACTATAAGGCACTTGTTTATTTAATTTTTTCCTTATTTAGGACCTTGTTATGACTTCAACTGTACGCTGTCATCGGAGGAGTGTGTAGTGATTGCCGACGCAGCTAAATGTCAGTGTCCCGAGTGTAGTGATATGGAGGAAGATGAAGTGTGTGCCACCGTGGGAACCAATAAAACAACGTACAAGAACCCATGTGAGGCCCAGCAAGACGCCTGTAATAAGAGTGTTCCTCTGGACATACTCAATGTAGGAGAATGTGGAGGTAAAAAAAAAAATCAAGAAAAACGAAGCATTAATGATTTATTTACCAACTATATAGAATAATCACCTGATCAGTTATTGCAACAACAGTGTTTGTTAAGTTATTCTTTTAAACTGCTAATCTGACAATTATTTGTCTAATACTGTAAATGTTGAGTTTATAGATTAATGATTTGAAAATATTGACATAACAGATTAATGACTAATTGTTTCCACTTTTGGCTCACCAATTTCCTCACCGATGTGAAGGGGAAATAAAAAATACTTCTTTAGAATATACAGTAAAAGTCATTTAGTACGAACTTGGATATTGCAAATTCAGGTATATAGCGAAAAAATCTTGAATCCCCTATAAATTTAATGGATCCTTATACAGATATAACAAATTACGGATATAGCAAAGTAATTTCATAGGTCCCAGTGACTGCATTATACATGTAACCGAGTTTAAATTATCCTTCATTATTTTTTTGTCATTATAGTGGAGCCTCTAAACTGTACACGAATGCCACACCTGATTACAATTACCAGTGATGATGGCTGTGTCTCCAGTTCCAAGATAAACGTAGCCAAGTGTGATGGTGGCTGTGGGAAATATTCCACCCTGTGTTGTGACAAGGCAGTCACCAGTAAAGAGGATGTAGCTCTCATCTGTCCAGACAACAGTGTCAAACATCAAAAGGTAGGACAGTAGGGCTGTCACGGTTCCAAAATTTTTCGGGTTGGGTCGGTTCTGATTTTTTTAGGTTCGGTTTCGGGTTTGTCGGGTCGGGTAGGTAATGGAAGAAAAGCTCATGATTTGTATTATTTTCAACAACAAAAAGAATATTTTCATTTAATCTTAGAAATTGCAACATTATAACCAGTTTAAAGTAGCCTCCTGACTAGACAACAATTGTACCAAATTATTGAAATCACCTTATAATGACAATGTACTAACCAATCTCTTGTTCTTGGTGCCATTTTTATAGTAAAATCTACTCTATTATACAAATCGGAACCGAACCGAATTCTGGAAAAACGGAACCATACCCGACCCGAATTTGAAATTGTTCCGCAGTTCAGGGTCATTTCGGGTACCCGTGATAGCCCTATAGGACAGGTCTATTTGTTCATCCATCAGGTGCCCTATTGAATCCCTAGGCCAGTCTGTCCCTCCATCCATCAGGTGCCCTATTGAATCCCTGGGCCAGTCTGTCCCTCCGTCCATCAGGTGCCTTATACAATCACTGGGTTAGTCTGTCACTTCATTCATCACATGCCTTATAGGATTTAATTTTTGAGTATTAACTCAACTCCTCCTAAGCCCTTTGAATGAAATTCAGTGGAACTTCCAGAGAATCCTATTTACATACTGCCAAGCAATGCACTTTGCCATTACCATATGGGAGCAGGGGGTATCTTTTTTTTTAAGCTTAGTGCTTGCCGTGCCTCTAGTTATTTTCAAAACAAGTACTGAGTATACTGCAGTTTGGAGTATGTTAAACAAGACCAGATAAGAACGTTGAAAGTCAATTTTATTGAAATCATGATTTTTTTTAATTATACTTAATGAAAATCCTTTTTAGCATCAGATATGTCTTTGTAAAATTCTATGAATATGAATATTTTTTTATAGGTGGATGTCATAGTGGAATGCAAGTGTAAACCAGCCCCTAAACCAGCACCTTAACATGGAGGATACATGAATTCACCTTCATTTTACCTTTTTGTCACAAAACTTTTTCTGTGCTATAAAATTTACCTAAAACACTCTAAATTATAAATATTTTAGTTGACTGTGTTTTGCACAAAAAAGGTTTAAATCCTTTCACCAGAACTTGTAAATTATTTTATGGTTGACTTATCAGCTGTTCTGTTCCTGTGTATATTTTTTTTTTTACATGAGATTCAGCCATTTATTGGTGACTTGAAATTCAAAAGCATTTTTTTTTATTTCTCTTTCTGTTGGTGGTATACAGAAATTAAGATTATAGAACTTTGGTTGAAGGGAAAGATCAAGTAATTATAAATTTGGTTGTTTTTTTGTACTTAAGTCCATTGCAACTTTATTATGAAAATTCAGTTTATCAAAAAATTACATTATGTTAATAACTTTTCTATTTTTCATACAAAAAAAAAATGGAATCAGAATTTTTTAAACCATCAGATATGGAATTCTGCTTTTAAAAAACAGTACATTCAGCATAATGGAAAGTTATCATAATCCTGCAATTACTGTTATTTTCTTTTATCTCTTATTCCTTTATTTCTATGAAAAGAATACAATGTACCAGAAAAGTGCCAGAGTAGTATTTGAATCTGTGATTAATGAGTGCTGAGTACTTACATGTGTCTATTTCAATGTATTTCAAGGGCAACTAAATTGTTTTCATTCTGTTACGAAATGATGTTACGATACTACATTGTAGCTAGATGTTAATTGTTAAATATTGCTTTACGAATTTCACTGTCCTATTTCTATATTTGTTATTACAAATAAACAAAATCTTAGAGTATTTTAGTTGTTTATACTGCATTTTGATTTTCAGGAAGGAGCAAGGTTTTCAATTTTTGGTAGTTCTTTTTATATGGGATCTTAAGTATTTTAGTACAATTTTTTAAAACAACATTTTTTTGATAAATGGGATGACTTTGATTTTCAGTCATCAACCTCCCCTTCTTATGCAGCAATACATGTATACCTTTACCACCTGCATAAGGGGCTTATATCTCTCAGTTTATTTGATATAAAAGAGCTTGCTCTACATACTTGTATGAGTAATTTCTAAAGTGAGTTAAGTTAGTGACAAATAAGATGATGAAACAAAAATATTAACAGTTTCATCTTTAGTTATTTTGTAAGTTCTATGACTGACACAATGATCTTGTCAGCAAATACAATCTATCATCAAGTCAAATGCTGTGACATTTTTCATTTTAATTGTTAGGCCATTATTTACACACTGACTTTTCAGAGGATTTTTCTGTTTTTCCCCAATCATGACAAGAAGCACATGGCAGATGTGACTGGTCCACAGGGGATGCTCACTCCTCCATGCGATGGCACCTGATCCCACCTGTAATGTTTCAGAGGTCCATGTTTGCTTTGCTCCCTATTTGTTTTGTTTAATGGATTTTTTAGGTTGAACACTGTTCGTTATCTCCATATATTTCATTTGAATGAAAGTATTCAATGTGCATTGACCATATTTTGTACCTAATTGAATTGTCCGATATTTTAATTATAGGAAGTTCAAGGTGTTATCAAATCAAAATACTCTGCCCAGGCAAGTAATTTATAAAATACCATCATGCCTTGTCTGTTTTTAGACAATTTTCATAAGTTTTTTCCCCCTTTTTATACGCCCGTCTTAAGACGGGACGTATTATGTTATAGGCTTCATGTCCGTCCGTCTGTCCATTCCTGTCCATTCCTGTCCAGCTCATAACTTGAATACTATTAGGCCTAGGATTATGAAACTTTGTCAACTTATACTTCTTGGGTAGACGGTGTGTCGCGCACAAAAAGTAGGTCGCTGTGACCTTTAATAAAGATGCTATAGCCAAATATGGAAAAATCCTGTCCGGCTCATAACTAGAAAACTATTAGACCTAGAGCTTTCAAACTTGGCAAACGTATACATCTAAAGTAGAAGGTGTGTCGCGGCCTATTTCAAGGTCACTGTGACCTTTAATTAAAGTGAATTTTTTTAAAAAACTAAGTCTTTTAAATTCTAAATTTCATAATCCTAAAAAATGTAAAAATATAGTTGTATGCTTATTAAAAAACGTTAAATTAAGTAAAAACTTATTTTTTCATTATATACTTTACAGCAATCTGTAACAAATGTTTATGCTTTGAGAGGAATTCAGTTTGTCCCATGGGCTTAATTATCAAGCACTGGTCAAGAAGAATTTTGATAGCAGAAATTTGCATGTCAAATTAGAGAGAAATTAATGAGTTTATTGTCAGGAGCTAAGAGCATCTCTAGATTTGATGCAGATGTTATCTTAATTTATCTCTTGGGAGTTGGGCAAAAAGAAATGGCCTCATAGTTGCTTGTGCTAATTAAGAGTTCTTGATGGCTAGTCCAGATAAAGATCTTTCAATTGATGTAATGTAATTAAAACAAATTGATGTTTTAGAGTATGATTAAAACTAAATTAGTATTGTATAATATGATTAAAACTAATTATATATGTGTTCATTGAAAAAAAAAATTATATTTCAATTTTTATATATTTGCAACAAAGATGCTATAGCAAAATATGGAAAAATCTTGTCTGGCTCATAACTAGAAAACTATTAGACCTAGAGCTTTCAAACTTGGCAAAAGTATACATCTAAAGTAGAAGGTGTGTCACGGCCTATTTCAAGGTCACTGTGACTTTTAATTAAAGTGAATTTTAAAAAAAACTATGTCTTTTAAATTCTAAATTTTATAATCCTAAAAAATGTAAAAATAAAGTTGTATCCTTATTAAAAAACGTTAAATTAAGTAAAAACTTATTTTTTCATTAGAATTTTGATAGCAGAAACTTGCATGTCAAATTAGAGAGAAATTAATGAGTTTATTGTCAGGAGCTAAGAGCGTCTCTAGATCTGATGCAGCTGTTGTCTTAATTTATCTCTTGGGAGTTGGGCAAAAAGATGCTTGTGTTAATTAAGAGTTCTTGATGGCTAGTCCAGATAAATATCTTTCAATTGATGTTCTAGTGTATGATTAAAACTAAATTAGTATTGTATAATATGATTAAAAGTTTAAAACTAATTATACATGTGTTCATTGAAAAAAAAAAATTATATTTCAATTTTTATATAGTTGCGACAAATTGCAGTCATGTCTCACTAGTATTATTTGTTATAATCAATCCCTACACTGTAAGTCTCTTAGAGATGTATAATAAGAAATGGAAATTAGATAATTGAAATCTGTGTCAATCTGTTAATCAAGGCTACCTGATTTTCTTGCATCCTAACCAATGTATGATTATTGAACAATATTTGACGGGCGTATCATGCTGTGGCGGGGCACTTTATTTTCTCATGTAAAGCTTTGTCCCCTATTGTTGCCCTCTACATTTTAAACATATGTGACTGCTGGAGAGCATGATTTGAATGAACTACATGTAGATTTATTGTAGAATATACACCATGTATCCAAGGATGCTTCCATATCATGGCAAATCACGGCTTTGCTGTTCTTTAAAAGAATTAAGACTTTATCAGAATTTTCTATGGTGTCCCGAAAGGGCCATTGCAAAAGTGTATTAGCGCGTTAGAAACAACACGCAAATGCATTAATGACAATGCGCTAGCACGTTAATGTCAACGCGCTAGCGCGTTATGACAAAGAGTTGTGTGTTAGCGTGAAGAAGTTATGAACAACGCGCTAGCGCGTTGTCATTAACGTGCTAGCGCGTTGACATTAATTCGCTTGCGTGTTGTATTCTAACAACACGCAAGCGCATTAATGACAACACGCTAGCGCGTTAATAAAAATAGCCTATGGTTGTATTCTTGTTTTGTTGTATTCTTGTATTTTTGTATTCGTGTATTGTTGTATTATTACAACACGCAAGCACGTTAATGACAACACGCTAGCGCATTGTTCACATTAACGCGCTAGCGTGTTGTTGTTAATGTGCTATCGCGTTGACATTAACGCGCTAGCGTATTGTCAATAATGCGCTTGCGTGTTGTTTCTAACGCGCTAACACACTTCTGCAATGGCCCTATCAGGACACCATACTTTTCTCTATATATATTCCTATGTAAAATGTAATCCCCTTCGGTACTCTAGATCTTATCTGCCCGCTTTGAATTTGACCTAGGAGTTTAGCACTTAAAAACAAGAAATGTTTGTAAAACATGCCTTATGCCCCCTCCCCCAAACTATTGGGATTTTTCTAAGTCCAAGTTGCATAACACTATCCAAAATTGCTCGATCGTACCCAAAACCGAACTTTACCTATTCTTATTTATCTGTATACCATATTTCATTTCAATGTGTGCAACCTCTGCGAAGGAAATGAACGGAAACTGATAGTGTATCGACAGACAGCAGCAAGTCAATATGCCCTCCCTTCTTCAAAGGTGGGGGGGGGGGGGATAAAAATTCACCTTGTCACATCTGTTGAACAGTTGTTGCCTGCAGGGCATTCATATGGTACAGGTATAATGCATTGAGATAGTTCCTTTGATTTTTTGGGGTAAAACATTTTTGATCTCTCGACCTTCAGTTTGAATTGTATTTGAACCATTCTATACTTCACAATTTCAGCTGCAATAAGAAAGGGGGGGGGGTATGTTGTATAAACATATCTCGTTATATACCATCGCCTTCCTTGCTCCAAAAACCTAAGCCTGTGGAAAGTCCTTTTTTCCTAAATCTTTATTCCATGCGATTCATTTCCCTTTTCTATTTAGTGTCACTATGCAATAGCAGATTAGCAAACATCAAAAATTGAAATATATGTAACTGAAAAACGATGAAGTGAAGTTTGGAAATGCATATGTTTTATTGATAAGTGTTTGATCCTGCGGAATATAAATTGATTATTAATTTATTATATATAATTATTGAAAATTAAAGATATATGGCTTAGCTGAGCTAAAAAAAAAAATAAAAATAAAAATACGAGATCGAGTGTACAGATTTACATGATGTGTGCAATATTTATGTTCAAATTAAAGTTTTCGCCGATTTTGAAATTAAATATCTCCACGTTTCTATGGTTAAATTGGCATTATAAACTGTGTCTGATATTTAATTCCGAGTCGGAAATAAATCGGTTATAATTGTTTTAAATTTCGGATATCTATGAAAAGCGATTGATTTATACTGTGTTATTTACAGGAAAGTACTATCTTTATTTTAAAAAAAAGTATCAAAACAAATAGATTCTAATTTTTTTAATAATCAATAATACGCTATATAATGATTTTAAATTGCTCCACAGAGAAGTAATAGTGATGCTAAATAAGAAAAAGAAAATATATTTTTTAATTAAAGAGGGTTGGAGAAAGAGGAATGAAAATGTTTGTAAGATGTTAGGTATTCCTGTAAAGTCTAAATATAAGTTTAATGAAAATGCAAAGCAAATGTACGTAGAACTTTAACACTTTTTTTATTATTAATCTAAATTCATGAAATAATTTATGATGAAAATATTCGAACAGTACAGCTTTCAATAACCATAAACACCTCGGCCACAATACAAGCAATCATTGCAAGGACAGCAAAGGCAAAAGACACGTGTAAATGGCCGCCTGGTACAACTGTTTGGATTAGAGACAAACCTCCGGCGACTCCAGCTATTATCATAAGAAGGAAACAGACTGTAAAAAAAGAAAGAATTTCTTATAAATCAAGAGGGAAAACAGAACATAATCCTCGCAAAAGAAAAAAGTGAAATATTATATACCCCCCCCCCCCCAAAGCAATTATAATATATATAGTGAGAAACACAAGTTTTACCAAAATTATACAATAATCTCTCTTTGATTTCCCAAACTAAGTACATGTAATGTTTTATGAAATCATACAAATATCTATTTAAAAAATATGAAAAATCATTCGAATCTGTTAACTTTTGAAAATCGACTTGGAAGTAGGCGGGAGAACAATACTATCGTTCGTAGCTCATGGTCTTGAATTTTAGAATTTCTTCAGCTGACAAGCTTGTCACATACCTGCAGCAGCATTGGCAATCATGCTCGCTCTTAATGGGAATTTCTTATCTTTTAGCCGGAACATTTTCAGTCCCAGTGTAACAACTGCTGTGATTAATAGAAGCAGCACAGTGACCACAATAGCTTGTAAAAACCGCAACAAGCCTGGAAGACAACGGAAAGAACGAAGTTAGGAGATTTATAATTCTAAGAGGAAAAATACAACTCAAAGATCGCATGGTTTTCATTAATACGATGGCACAGCTTTTTAAATAGTTCAGTACAACTCGGTTAAACAGAAAAGTCATGTTGACCTTTGGAATAACTTTGCTATGCCCGTAACTCGCTTTATCCGTATATATATATATATTTTAGTTTCATTGTGCGTGATAAAACTTCAAAAAGTAAACAAGCAAATTCAGAGAATTGTGGTCCCCCGCTTTCGGTGTCTTTGTGGGTGAGATGTCATTTTTTAGGACACATTGTCTCAAATATGAACGCCCTATCATATGTCATTTAGACATTATCACTTAAGTTGATTTTTTTTAAAAATAAGGTCAGTCGTGAAGGTCAAGGTCAATGGGTCACAAATCATAGCATGCTTGGAATTATATTGTCACAGGTAATGCACGTGTCAAATATGAAAGCCATATTTGTTATCAATATAAGGAACAAGATGTGTTTGTGAAACACTGTATGGCAACATAGCGAAGATTAAACTTTTCTTAAATGCAAATTAAATAAAAGTTTTTGATATCCAATGATATCGAAGGTCAAGGTCAATAGGTCAAGGTTATTGGTATCCAATGAAAGGTCTTGCTACAAAAAATACATATGTGAAATATAAAAGTCCTAGTATCTACCATTCAAAAGTTATGGCCACAAAGTAAAAGTTTGGATTTTTGTGCAAAAGTGGGTCAAACTCCAAGGTCAAGGTCAAAAGGTCAAATCTGGTGGTACCAAAAGAAAGGTCTTTTAACAAGAAATACACCTATGAAATATGAAAGTCATAGCTCCACTTAAGGTACACCAATCCCCAGGTTCTGAAAATCAAACATTGACTGATTGAATATGCTCACAAAAATGTCTCTGAATTTTCAAAGTACAGTGTAATGTGTTTCTACCCACAATAATTCTTCAAAATTCATCTTTCAAGTTAATCATATTGTATAGAAAAAATTAGTAAATCTCAAATATATTTTCAAAAAATGCGAATAAAACACTTGCTATGCATTTTCCAATTCAAATTTGATCAATTAACACATTTTAAAAATAAAAATTATAGGTATCCAGGCTTTTGAAGAAATTCCACAATTTTTATACATATAATGTACTTTATTTTCTTTTATTTACTTCGATCATTTTACAATGCAAACTGTATAAAGATTCTCCTGTCATTGTGAAGCACCATAAATCACTTCTAATTTCATATCATGTTGATAAACATTGGTATCTATGGTTAGATTAAAATGAACATCAATTTCTTGATGTATGTAATTTTAAAATGCTTTTACGGGGTAAAAATTTCGAATTTTTATTAGACCTTTCTGAGAACTTCAAAGAACCTTGCAGCACGTTGAGAGGTATATAATGAAAATTGTTGCATGAAAAGATTAATTTTTAAGTTTCATTTTTAGACTTTTTGAATTAAATTATAAATTAAAGACTTGTCCTTCCTGGCTGAGGGTCGGAGTCCCTTAATCGAAAGTTATGGGCAAGGTTAAAGTTTTTTGTGACGGACGGACAGACTAACAGACCGAGGGACAGACGAATGAGATTTAATGTCCCCTCGCTTTCGCGAAAGCGGGGGACAAACAAAATATCTGATTTTAAAATAAAGCTTAAGTGGTGCATCGATAGGCGTGGTTAAAAGAATTAAATATGGTGCGAGATAGAGAGAGACAGGAGTACCTAGTAGATAGGGCTTCTAGTACATGTGTACGTAAATCTACGGAATCAAGAGCCTGAATGTGTCAGATTTCTTTTGATTTCATAATCACGCAATTGGCTTGCGTAATGATTATATGCATGAATACCTTTTGTGTTTATGCAAATTATCAGGCAAGCCATTAATTGCAAAATTTTCGTAAGGATTTGTTATTAAGAATTCTAAATTTTATAATGCACATCAACGTTTCGTGAGTCTATATATTATAAAGTAGAGTAAAATTAGATTATAGTTTTATGTAGACTTCCAAAAACACTGTTACCATTTGTCGATAAAAGACATGGATATGTATACTCATATTCGGCCTTCAAACAAAGGCAAACAAAGTTATTTATTTATTTTCAAAACCTTTTTTTTAAACATTCAATGGAGATACTATATGATTTTACATATTTTTCGAGTTGGATCCTCTTGGTTTCTCCAACCAAATAACATACCATATTGCTAAGAATGATCTCGCGTTTCTTTTCCATTTTCATCGTATTTTTTCTGCCGCTCCTGCTAAAGCATGTTGAAAATTCAAGATATATATGCGAAGCATTTCTTGCCCTATACAGTCCGCTTTTTCCCCAAAATAATTAAAGCCATTACCCAAAGCTGCTATAAAACTGTTTGCAAGATTTTATTGAAAGAATTTATATCCAAAATGACGATAAAAATACCGAATACCAATGCAATCATACCTTTTTGTAATAGGCAGAATAAGTTCTACTAGTGGAGTCTGTTCTTGATTAATTTAGATCGTTTTTAGTAAAGCACGAAATATCAATGTTATAACTTTAAGTTTCTTACCTAAATTAAGCACCGTCAGGTAGGAGTAACTCAGGACGCTCGCACACCAGGTTTGATAATCAACGTCCCTGTACACATTTAGTTTGTTATCACAATAATTCCAGATACCAAGGCTGGTAAATTGATCTCCCTCAGATGCATATACCCAGTATGGGGATGCTAAAGCAATGAAGAATAACAAAAGAGCAACCGACAAAAATACGAATCCTGCCAGTAAATTTTTCGAGATGCCCGAAGAAGAAAGTCTGCAATGAAAATCAGAGAAAGTGAACATTTAGTAATAAGATGCATACAAACGTAAACAAACTTTAACTTAAAAAAAAAATTGCTACATTATACACGTATATTGAACCAGTCCCTCGGATGAGACCGTATAAGCTCTCCACCGGCAAGTGGTGGCGTCTCTCGAGACACGGAGGGACGTTGAACTCCATAAAAAAACGTATAATATATATATTGCTGTAACTAAAGACATATCGCCCTCGGTGCAAGATTTTAAAACAATGAAACTATATGCATATTTTTATTTGGTTGTCGGAGAGGTAGTCCGAAATATCTGACGTTTTCCAGGCCTTTTTACGATTTTGATATTTTTCAAGTGCGAGGAAAACGTCAGAGCCGGTGCCATTACCTGGCACGTAAAATATCAAAATCGTAAAAAAGCCTTGAAAACGTAAGATATTTCGGAGACTATTATTAGTTGAAATGTATCATAAATACCAGTGTTAACAAGATACGAAAAGGGCCAAAAATAGATCAAATACTTATCCAAATTTATTTTCATATCAGTAGCTATATGATATTTTGTGATTGGATAAATGTCTGCTTTACCTGTCCGGATTATTGGTTTGCATATTTATCATCTGTTCATCGATAAAAATTTTTTTTAACCTTTTTTTTTCTCCAGTGATTATAGCTCGGATATGTCAGGAATATCTAACGGTGGAAAAACACTAAGTGGAAACACCATGCAAAGTCCTATTTTTACATGTATAGGATAATTAATAAACAAAACACGTACACTTCTTTATTTAAAAGAATTATTACGCAATACCAAGCAACTCTCATAAGGGTAAAAACACGGTTAACTGCCCATGATTGATCGCTTAAAGGAGGATCTGTGACAATTTAAACTGATGAAGGGAATACCCCGGTACCCCTGGCATAATGCAGTCACAAGGTATCGATACGATCTGCATGATTTGCTTTGCTGGTCTGTAAAAATTCTCAAAGACTGGGTTTTAAAAAACGTACATTTTGGAGAGGCATGGAAAAATACATAGGGAAAAACTACACGAAAGGTTGGAAGGAACTGTCAAAACACTTTCATCATAGCTCTTTTCAAATATAGGAATTTTCAAGTAAAGGAAATTATAAAGATAATTAAAAGTACTTATGCACAGCCTCAAAAAGAGCTAGCCTCATTCCTGTCACAGGAATGAGGCTAGCTCTTTTTGAGAAGCATAATATATAAAAACTAAGAAACATTTTCAACAAAAAAAAATGTTTTATCCCGAGTTGCAAAAAGTATAATGCTATTATTATTTATATTAATAACATATACACAATAGAATGCGAAAGATTAATTGATTTATCATCTTGTGTATGTAAGAGGTTGGTTCTGCTAAAAAGGTTTGCTTTTCTCGTGATAACAAAGTTATTATAATATTCCTTTAATTGTTTATCACTTGAAGTATAAGTTACAACAAGAATCATCAACGCTTTTTTCTGATGTGCACAGCTCTCCATCGGCAAGTGATGGCATAGACCTCCATATGAGTGAAAAATTCTCGAGAGGGACGGTAAACTGTATACAAACAAACAAAGTTAACGCATATTGTTTGAAACTAGAGACAAATCGCTCCCAGTGCAAGACTTTAAAATCAATGAAACAATGCATCTTTTTATTTGATTGTCGTCGAAGTTGAAGCATAGAAAAAATATCATTGTTAAAAAGATACAAAAAGGTCCAAAAATACTCCATATACTATATCCAGATTTATTGCAGCCCGGAGGACCGGGCTGCTCTATACATATAAGTTTAAGTGTTGGTATATGGGGATTGAGGTGGGAGTAGTTATTCAGTATTAAAGATTTTCTAAACATTGAAAAGATGGTTAAACAGAAAGTTCTTTCCCTTTATAAATTACGAGATACATAATATATTTACTTCCATAATGTGAATCTGTAAAAATATATGTTTTTTCATATTTAATATATAAAGTTGTTTATCATTTATTATCGAAAAAACGACAGGTCCCTTTTTTAAGAACATCGAATTTTACTTCTCGCATAAAAACGTACTATGCACAGTTCAAGTTTTATATTCTAAAATTGAAAATTAAATACATTTTTGAATATAGGTGATGCATGTGTCTAACTAAATTTTATATTTTATGCAGCCAACATTTACTCGAGGAATTGAAGTTTAAAATGATATCGTTTTTGTTTGATAAGTTTTCCAAATATTCGCGACTATCGTCTCCATCAATTAGACGCATGCCTTTTCACGCATATCGAAGCAGTTTGATGATCAAGACTCATTTCCATAGTTTACTTTATACAATGAAGCGCATTGAAGTGGTAAAATTTCCCGTTTGAATGGAACGTTTTGAGCTATCTTTAGAACGTTGATTGTCATACAATGACACGCCCATTTCTTTAGAAAGTAAAAATCGGTCGAATGGTTCATTGGAATACCTGTAGAACAGGTATTCTAAAAATATAATATCCAATCAAATTCACGGCCTACATAAACACAGAGTACGCACGTGTTCGACCAATACATGTGTAAGGGAAACTCCAATAAACATGATAAATTCATAATTATGTACAAATTCGTTGCAATACGTGTTTTATAGAAGCTGGAACTCTCTAAATCTCTCTTATAACTTTAAAAATCTCCATTTCAGTGAAACTCATGTTGCTTTTCGCAAAGAGTGGGGTGTCCTAAAACATTACGACGAATATTTCTTGTACGTTTCTAAAGAAATGGGCGTGTCATTCTGTAATATTGACGTTTAAAACATGACTCAGAACGTTTCATCCAAACAGAAAATTTTACCACTTCAATGTGCTTCATTGTATATTTCCCGGGCGACAATTGATGGTAACATCAATGTTTTCTTGTTTTCATAGCAGTAGCTATAATATCTAATGAGTGGGTAAGCCTCTACGTTACCTGCCCGGATTATTGGTCTGCATATTTATCCTATGTTCATCAATAAAATTTATGTTTATATTTTTTTCTCCAGTGATCATATAGCCTAATGGTAGGGGATACGTCAGGAATATCTAATAGTGGAAAAACACGGTGTGGAAATGCCGAAATCCTATTTTTACATTTATAGGGTAATTAATAAAGAAAACATATACACTTCATTTAATTTACTACACAAGATCAAGCTATGCTCTATTAGGGCAAGATACCCCGGAACAAAAACACGGTCTACTGCCTATGTATCGATCGCTAGAAGGATGATCTGGGTCAATTTAAACTGATGAGGGGAATACCCAGGTACCGCGCGTATAGAGGAGTCAGAAGATATCGATACGATCTGCATGATTGCTTTGCTGGTCTGGAAAAATTCTCGAAGACTGGGATAAAAAAAAAAACCTGTAGGTCTACTCTTGAGAGACGCATGGAAAAATACAGATGGAAAAATTACACAAAAGGTTGGAGGGAAATGTTTGCAAAACATTTTCATCACTGGTGTGTTCAAATAGAGGACATTTCAAATAAAGAAAATTGCCAAAATAACTAAAAGTACTTATATCATATGAATGAGGATCTTTTTGAAAGGCCTTATACTGTATATGATAGCTGAGGAATATTTATAAAAAAGAATGTTTTATCCTTATTTAATAAAAAAAAAAAGGCAAATACTGTATTACTAACACTCCTCGTTGTATATATTCACTGTAGAATGCACGGAAGCGTAAAGATTTCTACACTTGATTACTATATTGAAATGAATGAATATCTTGCTTTTATCGATATTTTAAAATCAATATTTTTAACGTCAATATAGTACTTATAGCAATAAAATCAATCAAACAAAATAAGGTGCCTAAAATTATGTTAAAACATCTAAATACAATTCAAAATATGTGTATAAAAAGGAGTTATAACACTTTTTATGTTGATAAAATAATAAAATTAAAGACGATATACAAGTTATAGCTCAACAAGTGTAGAGACCTTTTCGCTTCCCTAAGAATATTAATACGACATATTTATTGATTTATCATTTTGTTGATGTCAAAGATTGCTTCTCTTTAAAGAGAGTTTTGCTGTTGATATGATAACCCAGTTACCGGTATTCATTCAACTGTACATCTATTGTGGTAAGATACAAAACAAAGCATCAACGCTTTCTTTCTGGTGATATCACAGGTTAAGAAAAGTATCGTAATTCTAGCTTTTATAATTATTTTATATAATCTTCATGTACATTGAAGAGTACGAAAATGAAAATTAATTTTATAGATTTACATTGATTAAGAAATTTTGGGTTTACAGCAACAGTAGGCATTTTTTAAGGGGGATGTACAAGCCATATTGGATCTAGTCTGGTGTAAAATAAGAAATACCAAGAATGAGCTTAATTCTCTACTAAACTAGCCCAAAGTTACTCAGAGTGCTAATGCACTAATTACCTACTGTTAGAGACCAAAATCAGTTAATAATTAAGTTTATTTTGTTTTAATTAGGAGGAAATTAATCATGTTAGAACTGCGCAGCTACAGCATTCACGAGATGAAAAATGCATTGAATATAGCGTTAGTTTGATTCATTAATAATATGGCTACAACCATTTGTTTCGCTTTTTTCTTGTCATTATCCATAATTCTTGAAAATTTGATTTTTCATATGGGTGTCTTCCTGAGGCCATGTGTTTATTTCGTCCGCCATTCCTCTGTCACACAGAGTTCGAATAGCATTGGTTTTAGAATAAATGTCACCATAATAACATCAAGACAAGAAATTACTAAGTAATAATCATTAGATTATATTACTCACTACTTTTATTTGTTGCACTGCATCGTCTGATTAATGAAAAAAAGCGATTTTAACCCCACTCCAGCAAATCGGGAAAATCTGTTCTGTTTACAGCTCGAGTTTCCTCGATAATATCATTCCACTGAGCACGTGGTTGGCATGTGCATATATCTGCTGTGGATAGATGCGTTTATTACCATGATGATATTTAATTTTTCATGGAACAAGTCTTGATGATTTGTT